AGTTTCATGTTATCTGTTCCATTACTTTTTCCAAGGAATTATGTGACACTGACAAGTCTATAATTTCCTGGTTCATTTCTTTTATTCTGTTTAAACATTAGCATGTTACCTTTCCTTTGCACTCCTGAATTTTGCCCTGTGTAGCAAGAGTTACTGAAAATCAACATTAATAGTCCAACTCTTCAACAGTGCCTCTAAACCTGTAGGATACAGCTTATCCAAACCTGCTAATTCAAAAATGTTTCATTTCCTGTTCCAAAGCAAAAATAGTTCCTGAAGCAGATACAGCCTCTTATCCCTCCAAATCAAGCCAGTAAGAATGGGAATGCCCCAGGATCATTTGAAATAAGTCATAGAGGACAATGACAAGAATAATTTCTGTGATACAGAGGAGAACAACACAAGTGAATGCTCTTTGACCTGTTAGTTGTTAAAACACAGTTGTTTCTGGTTTGGCATATGCGGAAACTGAGATGTAGGGAACCTTAGCAATATCCACAGTGCATGATGCAAACATAAGAGCAGAAGTCAGGAGGTCTGAACAACTCATGGCCTAACAGCTACAGGCAGCTCCTGCTCATACAACCTTCCCTGTTAACCCAGAGGTTCCAAACAAATATCACTACATCAAAGCACAAAAAACCATGTACAGCTGTTCATTGTTAGCTGATCATCTTTTTATTGGAATCACAGTTAACACTAACTATGAAAAAAGGAAAGTAAAACAAATCATTGCTGGGGTTTTTCTTTCTTTGTACAATTTCTGGGGTTGGCCTCGGCAATCTTTTTTTTTGTAAAGCAGTCAGCACATGTGGAATTAGGATGATGTATAATTGCAAGTAATTTTTTTATTAATACTGATAATAATTTTGTATTTTACATTGTCTTTTTAAGGAGATAAAGGAACAAAAAAAAAGGCAATGCAGACATACATACAAATATTGTGTTAGAAATCTAGAAAATCATATAGGGAGATTACATGTCAAAATGGAACACTCAATACAGTATTGATAAAAACTTGTCCACATTCTATCTTTACTTGTTGTAAGGCTGTAGTTCTGAAGCATGCAAGTATGCATGAGCATAAAACAATTTTGAAGTCAAGACAAAAAAAAAAATTAAAATGTAAATAAATGTCTGATATAGTCTAGTAATAAAAGTCACAATTCTGTATAGCATTTTCTGGGACACATTCAAGTAGGAAAGCAGCTAAGACCAACTGAAACAAGCTATAATGTTAAAATATTGAATTGCTCTTGGCCAGAGTAGCTAACATGAGTTATAAATTTGAATTCCATTCCTTTATGCTTACTGCTTGGAGATATGGAATGAGCCAGCAACAATAGGAAATCTTTATATATTTAATAGTGTATTTGCTACTTTCTGATTTAGTATTCTGAAACACTCAGGCAAAAGAAAGTCTGCATTAAGAGAACATGAGTGACTCATATTCAGGGGATTGGCAATACCATATCTGGGATTGCTTTTATCATGCTAATTCAGCTCAGCTGTGTGAGTCCCTTTCCAACAGGGGTCATTTAATGAGAGCATTCTTTTTCAGAAAATCTTGTATCTCTCAGATCTGGGAATAAGTCAACATTTATGTTGAAGAAGATGTTAAATGTGAGGCAGCCAATCCCTCATTTGCTGTAGAACAGGAGGAATTTGATGTAATGAATGATATAGCACTTGCAGAACAGTTGCTGGATTTAGGAATTTGAGTATTGCCAGCAGAATACACACTGCTCTTTTTCCATAAAATTCCATGGCCATACTGGAATAATTTAAATCACAATTTTTCAAAATTGCAATTAATTCTGTTTTCCCCATTTTCTATACCAAACTTTAAATCCTCATGCTTGATTTGTGTAATTTTAAAATCTCATAGTTGTAATTTAACATTTAGTAGACTGTAAGTCTTAAAGGATTTGCAGCTACCCACAGTTAGTCAGAAGTTGAGATAAGGGATACCAGCTATTCATCTAGACCAAAGTGACTGTGATAATTTGTCCTATTTTCCTTTATATAGTATTCTTGGAATTTAGTTTTAGGGAACTATAGGCAGTCTGAACTTACTAATTACTATGAAAAATCAGCTCCAAGATACCTTGTGTTAGGCATCCAAAGTTAGTGAGCCATTTTGGTCAAACTTGGTTTCCATCTAAAAACTGGAATGAAAGGAAATGGAAATCTGCATATAGTGTCTGAATAGGGTATGTTCACCAGTTCCCTGGCTTTTTACCCTGCTCTTAAGATAAACATCCGTACTTCAACTTGAATCTCCATAAATGGTTCTCCATCCAGGTATTTGATGTGAATTGAAGGATCTCGGGGAACATCACAAAACTGATTTCTTGTGCAACCTAAACATCAACTTAACTTACTTTCAGCAAGCAAAGATGATACCACTGACACAGCTCATGACAGTCAAGAGAAATTAGTGGTTGTTTGTGAATTGCCTAGGTGCTGTCATGAAGAACACCATAGAAAAGTCTGTAAGATATCAACAATGTCTATCAAGAGCAGCATTTGAGCAGAGAGTGATAAACAAAATGCAAGATCACACTTTAAAATGGGGAGAAAATGAGAGTGAATTATTTGGCACCATCCATTCATTCCAATAAATGAGGTAAGCGTATATAGAAAGAACAGTTTATGAACTGATAGTGCAAGGACATTGAAAGGTGCCATTGCAGAGGGGCTTAAGCTTGCATGGACATTTTTAATTCTGACCTATTCTAAATCTTCTTATTTTGTACGTTTATGTGCCATTTCCTGGATTTTTGTTGAAATAAAAACTATCTACTTCACATTCCAGAAAGATACATAAATGCAATTTATTTCATATTACATTTCATTGGGACTTTTGAGTTCCCTGATTGGTTGGAACTGCTAAACCTCTATATTTGAAGTTTGTATCATTAACAAATACATGTTCCAATTACCCAAACATACCCTGACATATCTTATCAGTGGGTACCCAGCTCATTAGGGAATTAAACAGATAGTTAACACACAAGAAATTACATGGAAATAACACACCCAGTTGAGCAACTTCCCCCTGATGCTCGTTTTTCCTAATTATCCTGTACATGTTGGTGTACAACACAGTATTATTTTTACATAAACTTTTTTTCCTTACAACTTCCACTTTTTTTTTACATATTTGATTTGAATAAATTACTTGAAAGTTCAGTTGAAAATCTGTGGCACTGCCACACCTGTATTTACAAATCACTGATGGATGCTTTAGTCACAGTAAAATAATTTCTTCCATTTCCAATTCAGTTCTTAAAATACAACTCCTCTACAATGTTCATGAGTCTCATGATATTTTGAATTCAAATAGCAAGAGAAATGTTTGTCCAATAACACTATTAAGTTAAATTAAACATTGATTCCTTTCTTGTGTTCAGCAGGATCCAGTCTCCAGCTCAGCTGTATACAGTGCAGTCCTCACTTGTATGAATTTCTCTTCATACAGCTTGTTAAAAGATATAATTTTTTCTTCAAATTTTCATTCTGTGTACATTATCACCTTGAGAAAAGCCACTTGCTACATGTATTTATTTTAATTTGGGGGTTCATTCCAATGCAAAGTCAAATCCTTTTAAACCTCCAGTTGATTCCTGGTTTTATTGATGGCAACACTAGACTTTGTGTAGCTATGAAGAATTCTTTATCTGTCATTCCAATCTCTAAAATTGTTATACATCAGTAAATCAAGTAGTGTAGCAACATTTTTTTCATTCTACTGTGTTACAATACAGTGCCCTGTAAGACAGTTTCACCAATACAACATCGATCAAACCAGAGCTCACGGTGTAAGAGTGATGTTTGGCTGGGGCCACCTGCTGGCTGTGTTGCTGATCTTTCATCGCCACATTTGGAAAATCACTTTATATTTGTAATTCTATTGTAATTATAAAAATAGCAGCACATATCAATAATCACCTACATATGTGAAGGTTTTTATGTACTTTTTATTTATTTTTAAGATTAAATATTCTGTGAACTTTATATGGCCTAATTATCAGAAGAAAAAAGAATTAATTTATCTTGCTTTCATAAACAAAATAAAAATGGAGGGGAGGAGGCTTAAAAAAGCTCTTCTTCTCAATAACACCAAAAAGAAAGCAAGGAAAAAAGTAATATTAATGCTAAGATATATATGATTTAGAAAAGTAATCTACATATCTTTAGCTTTTTTCTGTGATGAAAAGGATAAATAATTCTTATTGTCTTACTTGATGCATTATAAGATTTCACCTTGAATTTGTATGTGTTGTTCTAAAATAGCTAAGATGCACCGTGTCCAATTTTCTTGCTATTTAAAAATATCTCAGTCAACTTTATTATATTCTTCAAAGGCTTTTATTAAAAATAAATTAATGCCAAAAAGTAGCAGATGAAAAAAATGTAAAGTCTTTAAAACCAGCAGTTCTAATCAGTGAGCTACTGCAAACTAAGAATAATCCAGACAATTTAGTTCAAAGTGTGAGTGTATTTTTATAACAATGCTATTATGTATTTATTCACTTACTGCATGATAATATTGGTAATTATTTGTGCTGTGATTGAATCTTATTTCTATTATTGCAAGACTTTATGCAACTTTTAACTGTGTTTTCTGGAACAGGAGAAAGCATTTTACAGATTTTGCAAGTTTAAGAGAGATCCTTTGCACCTATTAAATTAAACATATATATTTATTTATTTCTATAAACAAAACCAAACATATATACACATTAATTTATTATACTAATGCCATGGTTTAGTTGGTGAGGAGCTGTTTGGTCATAAGTTGGACTTGATGCTCTCAAAGGTCTTTTCCAACCTAGTTGACTCTGTGATTCTGTTCCTATATGTACATATATGTGTTATTCATTTATACAAACAAAACCAAACATATATACACACATTAATTTATTATACTAATGCCATGGTTTAGTTGGTGAGGAGGTGTTTGGTCATAGGTTGGACTTGAAGGTCTCAAAGGTCTTTTCCAACCTAGTTCACTCTGTGATTCTGAGATTCTGTTCCTATATGTACATATATGTGCATGTTTGCAATATATATGTATACATCTATATATGTATATGCATCCATGCACACCTATATATCAGACCAACATCAAAATTGCACGGTTTACAGCCTCAGTTAAACAAAATCCTCTGTTGGCTCTTAGTTGTCCTGAGATGAAATATCTGCCATTATTCACATTTGCCCTCAGCAGGTCCATCAGCGGGACAGACTTCTAACAGGAGCTGTAAGTGGCAAGTAATTTTATCAAGAAATGCAAAGTGCAATTTAAAATGTATAAAAGGCAGATAAATAATAAGACTTCCAAGCATAAACAGGAAAGCGTAAACATATTGCATGTTTGGAGACCAGACTATGGGAGCTAGAACTAGGAAGAAAGACATCGCCACCATCATAAATGGAACCGGTAAAAACACCTGTAAGAGAAAGAAAAAAAGTGGGTTAGGAAATAAATGAACCAACTGTGATTTTTTGCCTCATTCATTATAGTAACAATGTGCTCTTTGCCACAGTAGAGTACCATTTCTCATGCTGCTGTAAACTCACCCAAGACTCAAATTGCCTACAAGAGAGGCATCTTTTAGAAAATATTTGTTTAGGCTCCTTCTGTGGTCAAGGGGAAGAGATAGGCAGTCCTAGAAATCCATTTGTTCACATATGATATTTAGAGTTCCTACAAGACACTCAGGGCTGGGTGCCTGGAAGCCTTCACAATGAGCATACACCTCTAACCCAGCTTTCTGACTGATGGAGTAAGAGGAAATTCAACCTATCCTTAATGCCTGTGATTGTGTCAGGGAAGATGGGAGCAGAACAAAGTTTAATGAACTGAATGGCAATGGATCCTGTACTGTTCTTGTTACTGCTCCACGCTGGTATGGTTTCACGTTGTTTGCACATCTCCCCCATTCTGCAAAGAACAATCTCATGTTTTCAAGTTCTCTAGGGCAGAGACCACCTGTTTGTTTATCTTCCTTTTATAGTAAAGCAAAATTTTCAAATAAGGCTCTAAGCATTGAGATTATTATTTGTATTTTTGTGACTATCCATTTTGGATTTGCACTTCCATAACTTTTGCATGTCACCCAGGACTCAAAAAAATTTATAAAAATATTTTTAACTTAGATCCATTTACTTTGTATGGTCGGTGTAGATGAGGTTCCCGGTATCGAAGTACAATCAGGCTTGCACAAGTCAATCCAGTCATAAGCCAGGCAGAAAATCCAAAGTAATTTGTTAACATAATAAGGTCAGAGGGGATGATAAAAATGGATGCAATGATGGTTGAAAAAATCATGGCTGGTGCTGGTGTATAGGAGTGGACATTAAGCATGGATATTAAAAGAGGTAAATGTCCTGACTGACTTCCAGCATAGCTTAATCGACCGAGTGTGAACATGCTGCAGTTGAGGGCACCAAATATTGAAACAGCAACAGAGAGAGGAATGATCCAGGCAACAGAGGGGATCACTCGATCAGCCCAAGTGACTGCCACAGCAACTGCAAGAAAGCAAAGAATTAGTGTAGTACAAGTACCATGTTCTGAATAACTGACAGACTTAACAGGAACAAAACTTAAAATACAAGAAGCATTTATTATTTACCAGCAATGCCTGCTTTTTCATTGCAGTAGTCAATACACTAATCCAGTCCTAAAGGTATTTCATTCAGGAGTTAAACATTTCCTGGGAGGATGACAGCAAGGAGTGCTGCCTGCCAGAGCAAGACAGGAAAGCCTGCTGGGGCCAATACCTGCCCAGCAGGAGTGAGCCACATCTCATGTCATGCATCACAAACACACACACCTGGGCAAGGGAAGAAAATTAACTCCTTGGCTCCTGGCGTGACCAGAGTGGTGACACACTCTGCTGTTACAGAAGCATGTCTATGTTCAGAGTCAACAAATGTGCTGTTAATGAGATTTTGCTTTGGGTGGAACTGGGAAATGTGAAAGATTGTTTCTAAACAAGAAATATTCAATATTGCTTGGAAATAAGCTATAGCTGATATTGTAGTGAGGACAATATTTAGTGGGTCTAATATCATGAGGAACATAGGTCTTGCAGTGTCCCGTACAGCACAGGAAGTAATTAGAGAGGGAAAAAATAGTGCCCCCACCTAAAAAAAAAAAAAAAAAAAAAAAAAAAAAAAAAAAAAAAAAGAAGAAAGAGGGAAAAAAAAAAAATTTTTAAAAAAAAAAAAAAAAAAAAAAAAAAAAAAAAAAAAAGGAAGTAGTAGTGAAGGAACAAGAAATGTTGTTTGAAAAAGTGCTATAATTTTAAGGTTATCTTGTCTACTGGCATAGATAAACACAGTCCCCCCCAGTATGCATGAAGCTGGTCATGCCAGCTGGCAGCTGCTATTCATGGATAATCTGGTATTTGCTGCCTCCTTCATTGTAGCATACAAATGATCCATCTCTCCCAGCAGACAGTCTGACACTGGCTGAGCGATAATATGAGGTTACTGAGTGACAGGTACACTGTTCTCATTTATATTAGTGAGCTTTTTTCATAGGAAAAAAAATGATCCATCCAAATGAGGTATGGTTTTTGTCAGGCCTGTAGGCAAGGTCTGACTGCTCAGTGTCATTACAGTGGGATTTAAAATGTGCTGTTTGGACAATCAAGGAGAAACACAGTTCCCTTCGGAGCTTTACATGGCCAGCTTATTGATACAGGATCTAAGACAGAGTTTACAAACACTGGAATTTTGGATAGACTCTTCTGAGAAGTCACAGTATTTGTCATGAATAATGCACACCCAAAATGGCTACATTTTTGTGTCCATAGTCTTTTCTATACTCCTGAACATGTTAGACTTGTCCACCTCCTAATGAGTAATGGCTTTAGTCTGAGACTCAATGAGATAAGGAAAGAAGGAGGAGATAGGATTAAAACTACAGGAAAACAAATATCATCTCTATATTTGGGACCTGACTTCCACCTTATTTTCCAGGTTTTAATACACTTCTGATTTCTTTTTAGACAGTGTAGGGAAAAGCCAACAGTTTCAACAATCTGCCTGCATTCATCCAATTTGTGTCATACAGTAAAATTAAAGAAGAATTCTTTGTTAAAAGAAATGAACCCAAATTTCTGGACTGTGAAGTTAGGTGAGCAGAAGTAACCCAGGGCAATGACATCAGACGGATATGTCAATGGGCCAGTCCTTTTTAATTAAAAAAATATGAAATACATACCTGAGGAAACAATTTCCTTAGGTGTGAGGACAGTCAGATATGAGATGTTCACTAGTAAATAAAAAACAATTACTACAGGAACAGCAGTCATCACAGTTAAGGGGATATTTCTGCTGGGGTGCTTCATCTCCTCTGAAAAATACAATTTAAAACAAATGAAGCAAGCAGTGTAGCTTCTGCAAGTGTTTCTCAGTAATGAAGCTGTACAGAGTTTGACAAGACTGATACCAAAGTCCTGCCCCAATCCCTAATCATGGCTGCTAAATTCTCTGCTTGTGAAGTTCTACAGTGGTTCTCATATAGGTTAATATCAAAGAGTTGAAACAACATTTTTTTACTTAGCTATTTTTAACTATTTTGGAAGGAGGGCTGGATGAAGAGCTGATTGATTTACAAAATGACAGAAGGAGTGATAATTTCCCTAATCACATATTTGATTTATGTTAGAAAAGTGATTTGGTAGGAAATTTTTAAGTAGCCTTACTTGAAAATTACTAGCTTAAACATAAGACTCTTAAGTCACATTATTTATTCTTATGTCACCTCATGAATCCTGATCTTAAACTTATTGAGCATATTTGCCTATTCCTACTCAAAACCTTTCTCCTTGCTCTTATATCATAAGTAACAGAAAAGACTGAAGGTATAGACATAACAGCAATAATGCAGTGGTTCAAAAGGGGGGCATTCCCAGATGGATTTTGATTATTATCATCTTTTCCAGGGCAAAGATGGTGGAGGAAAACTGTTTAGTGCTATGCCTGATAGCTTAGAACTACTCTTATCAAACAAGTAAAAAACCCAAATTTTGCAAGTGAATAGCTCAGACACTGGCACACATTCTTAGGCATGTCATAGTCCCAGCAAAAGATGGAGCTGGTCTCCAGAAGCTTAATCTCAATCACCCTCATCTCAATCAGAAAGGTTCTTTTTAATTTCTTTCACTCCTTCCCCTTGTTCCCTCACTACTTCCCACTTCCCTCAGCATTTACAGACAATTTCCTGAGTATTACCAGCAAATAACTGGTAAGAGGGAAGAAGTGAAAAGTGAAATGTGCAGCTTATTTAAACTCTTTTTAGGAGACAGAAATCTGCTTCCTCCTTCACATTTGATTTCTATCTTCTGCTCAAGACATCAGCCTTGAGCCATGATCCTTGTGCCAGCTGTAATGAATAGAGACAAGACCGAAGGAGCACAGTAGTGGAATTCAGATTTTATCAGAGAATTTGGGATTTATTTCAGATATAAAAAATACACTTAACAATTTTGAGCTCAGAAGAGAATAATCACCAAAATTTCCAATTTAAATTTCTCTTTCCATTCGTTTTGTTGTTTATTGCAGTCTTGCCAGCCAGCTGGCACCTGATCCATCAGCTGAACCTCACAGAAATGAAGTTATTGTTGAAGCATAGGAAACTCAGTTCAGTTCAGAACTATTGCATAGCTTACATCTGTCTAAGCAGCTGTGCTGCCCAGTGTATGGCATTTATTAATACTGCTAACTGATCAGAATAAATCAGTATTTTACCAGAAGTCTTGTATTTTCTCAGGCTCACAAAGCCAAGTACTTGCCTTTAAAGAATCTCTAAAGTTTCAAAACCATACTTTCCTGATTTATATCAATTTTTTTTTAAGTGCAGCCTATTTTTAAAGCTGGAGTACTGGATTATAAAGACAACAGTCAGGTTTTAAACATTAACCAAATTTTCACACTGAACTTCATGGTATGCATTTAACACATTCCGTTTATTTAATATTTTACATGATAGAGGTCAATGAATACAAATGGTTAAAGATATAAGAGCAATATCCACTTACTTACAATGTAATTCTGTGAATCTGATGATACTATAAAACTCTATTGATTTAACTTGTGATGTGAATACCTAACATTATGAACATCATCTCTGTTGCTTTCATGAAAAAATGCTCATTTATTACTGCGACACATCAGCAGATATAGAATAGGGAAGCAAATAGACATTCAAAAACCTTTTGAATGTTAAAACTGAGTACAAATTCTATGAAAAAATTTATACCATCTTCCACAGACCTCTCTTTACCTTCTATTAGACTTCAAAAGTCTAGTTTCCCAGGAAAACATATCCCATAAAATTACTACATTCTAACACTAACAAAAGTCAAAATTAATTTGTCCATGTTCAAATCAGCTGCATAACCTCAGATAAGGCACAGATATTTAAACAGAAATTATCTATGCACTCATAGTGGCATGGATAACTTAATTTCCTTTCCTAAAAATATGCTGACATGGACACTGAAAAAGAAAAAATGCAAATTTTTAAGGTATGAAAAATTCTCTGTTTATGCATGAGATTTTAAATTAACTATTATGATTTCTCTTGTACTTCCCTGGAAATGTCAGCTTGATTCTTCACAAAAAGCAGTTTTTCCCTGTAGAGAAACGATGACTCTTCTACCAGCCCCAACAAACATTCATGTAAAATGAGAAGTGCCCTGTAGTCTTGCAGCAGAGACAAGTTCTCCCAAAACAAGCTGAGGAACATGAGAATGAGAACTGCAGAACTAAATCTAAAGAAGAGGAGCGGAATACCTGCCATGTAGTTGAGGGACCACCAGCCGCCGTACGCGTACAGCCCCTGGAAGAAGGCTTCAGCAACCTGCGAGGCGTTGGGGATCTCTGAGCCAAACATGTCCTCAAACCTGGCCAGGCTCTCCTTTTGCCTGGTAACGAGGAGAACTATGCCACCAACAGCAATCACAGACAAGGCCATCATCTTCAGCAGAGTGAAAACTGTCTGCACCCATGCAGACATTTTGACGCTGAGGCCATTTAAAATCCCCAGGGACCAGAGAACGGCCAAGGCCAAGCACTTCTTCAGCACGTCTGGTGCAGGACAAATGCCATAGAAAGGCTGCGTGGCATATTCAGCAAACAGCAAGGCTCGAGCAGCATTTGATGCCGGCTTGGTGAATGTTGATGTCCAGATAAACACAAAGGCAGGTAGGGATCCAAGGCCTCTTTTAATATGGCTGTATTCTCCTCCAGAGAAGGGCAGAGCACTTCCCAGCTCCGCATAGCAGAGGGCACCCATCAGGGAAACCAGCCCAGATGCAGTCCAGATCGTTAGTGCAACACCAACATTGAGTAAGGAATGCTTTAATACCCCTGTGGGAGACACGAAGATCCCTGCTCCAACAATTGATCCTACTATAAAACTTACCCCATCAAAATAACCTATATTTCTTTTGAGTTGCATCTTGGCTTTTCCTTTTCTTTGCACATCTTTGGGGTCATTGTTTTCTTCTTTTCCCATTTTTCTCGTGGGTTTTTTTTTCACGGCAGATTTCACTTTGTTGTTAGTCTGTCATAGCCCTACTTGCTAGTGAAATGTTGCTAGGGAAGCTTGGCTTAATCATTCAGAAAAGAGAGCATACTTTGGGTTTTGATGTCTCCTGTGTGAAGATAATTAACCACATACTTCAAGAAACACTGGCAAATCATGTACATGTTGGTTTAATATGTACTTCAGAAATTATTAAGGTCTGCAGGCATTTTTAAAGAAAAAAACATTAAAATTAATGCACAGCAAATGCTCATTTCTCAGATGATTTTCATCAACAGATTTAATTTTATGTACATCTTCAGAGGTGAGTAAATGTGACTTCTACATCAACCCCAGGGAAAGAGGAAGGATATGGCAACATGAAGAACGAAATCAACCTTCCATATATTATTGACAGTGACATGAACATTAGATGAACAGCCTGCCACTATTTTTCGACCATCTATACAGAAAAGGGATCACCAGCATGCTTTGCAAAAATCTCATCAACCACTGGGTATATTGGAGCTTGTTTATAATATTATAAACTCATTAAATACTGTCCTAGAAAGAAAACTACCAGTCTAATTCCTGGGTTTTGTCTGAGCACTCATTGTTAGACTCAAGCATGTCCTAAGATGGCATTAATCTTCAGACACTGCTGTGAGGGAGGGAAAGAAGCTGTATCATAATTTTCATTTCTGTACAGGGGCTGTGGAACAGAAATAGGAAGGATGGAAGTTCCCACCAGTGTGGCATGCGTCTTTTATTACCGGTTGTGTATTTTGTGTTAGGAGCTTCTCTTCAATCAGATGTGGAGATACCAGAAACAAATTACTTTTGTACAAAACATGCAATTATTTTTTTAAAAGATGTCAAGAAAAATGGGCAGAAAGTAGAAAACTAACTGAAAAGAAGCTCAGCATGAACCCTAAGGGTTGTGTAAGTGCCCAAACTTGTAACTGCAAAGTTCTTCATTTTTGTCAGTCAAGTTGCAGAACCAGTTTTGATCAGCAGCCTTGCAGGTCAAAGCTCAGCAGTGCAGTGAACAAAACTCAAGCTTTTACAGGGGCCAACTTGAAAGACACTGTGGTTCACACTGGTTACCTCCAGTGGGTTTCCTTCACCACACAGAAGCTTTGCAGCATGGTGACAGAATCTGCAGCCTCAGAGCAGCTTCTAATCCTAACAAAATTCTTCCATTTTCTCCAAATCCCTGCAGTACTCACTAAATACTTTCACCTTACAGACTACAAAAATTGTAGTTCTACAAGAAAAACACCTCTACTTACTAAAGCTTGCATACATTTAAAATTATATTTATTAATTTCATAAATTGTAGTATGTATTTAAGTATGCATTCAACATGCATTATTAAAATTAATACTAATCAAACTATTAATTCTCTAATGTTCATGATTGGGAAATTCAGCATGGCATAATTTTTACATGGTTAAATAATTTTTTGTTTTATTTTTTGAGTCTCCTTCTCTGTGAATGCACACATATTATTCGATATCCAGCAGTCTTCCAACTCTGTATTCTGCCATGTACAGCTGGATTTGGATCACAGTCTTAGAACAAATCAATGTTACACTCAATGGAATCTTAACGCACAGATGCAACTTTTTTCACTGATCATCCTAGCATCCGATTTCTAGTACAAGAAAGGCATTGACAGAATGTCCCAAACAGCATACTAGTCGGATTTTCTACTTCTGACAAAGCTGTCTAATCTCAGAAAACCTCACTGACATTATCCCTTGGTGGCTGGGCACGGGATCAGGCTCCCCAGGAAGGCGGTCACAGCTCCATGCCTCACACAGTTGCACAGTGCTCTCCGGCACACGGTGTGACTCCTGGGGATGGCCGGCGATGATCCCTGTGTGTTCCTTCCATCTCAGATTGTTCTATGATTCTGTGACACTGTTAACACCGGGTGAGCTCCAAAAAACACCACAGCCCCCCTCGAAAAGAATGCAAAGCGATCCGGTTTCTAAACCCGGCCCCTTTCTGGGCCCATGGCAGGAAGCGGCCGGAGAGCGGCGGGACGCGGCGGGAAGGGGCAGGAGAGCGGCAGGGAGCGCAGCGGAGGCGCGGAGCTCGTTCCCCGCTGCCCCGCGGGCTCCGGCAGCGCCGCCTCCCGCGGCCGCGGCGGGAGCGGGGCCCTGAGGCGTTCGTGTCCCGGCCTAACGCGGGCAGCGCTGCCCTGGGAGACGAGGGAGCACTGAAGCGAGATGCGGCCAGCGCGGGGGCCCGGCGGCATGGCGGGGATCCCCGGCGAGCTCAGCCTCATGGATAAGGGCGTTAAGAGGTGAGTGCGGACGGGCCGGGGAGAGGGGAGGCCGCGGCGTAGGGCCGAGCTGCCGGCTGACGGTGGGCTCCTCTCTCTGCAGCCTGAGGGATGTGTCCCTGAGCTCGGACCTGCACACGCTCAACGCCCACTGTAACCTCATCGCCAGGATCCAAGGGCTCGACCACCTCCGGAATCTGCAGCACTTGGATCTGTCTTCGAACCAGATCCGCCGCATCGAGGGGCTCGGTTCCCTGGCTAGGCTGCGCACCCTGAGCTTGTCCTGCAACCTGCTGACCAAAGTGGAGGGTCTGCAATGTTTATTTCTGTCCATTTAGCAAGTTACGAAGGTTTTCTAAGAGTCGTTTTAAGGTTTACTTTTGGAATGTTTGCATATAATTAAGGTTATACCAAGTTAATATGCTAACCATTTTATAAAAGTAAATTTGAAGATGAGTATTTATAGTCTTCATAAGCCTTATCATCACAAAATGCCTTAATTTAGAAGGAAAAGCTGATTTTTATAATATGCTTATAGATTAATGTCATAATTCATAGTTATGATCTTTAAAGGTTCACTTTGCAAGCTTTGAATTTGATGAAAGCAGAGCATTCTTCTGAAAATCCTTCTGTTTGTATTTTTTTCCTTCATTTTGTTTAGGACTGGAAAAACTCTTTAATTTAACTATGCTGAACTTGTCATATAATCGCATACATGATCTCTCTGGTAAGTGATGTTGCCATTTGCTGTACAATACAAAGCATTTGTCTCACTTTAACTTTGAAAAACGTGACCAAGTGTATTTTGAAAAATTTCTAGTGCTTCCATTGCCAATTCACTGAATAATTCTAATACAGGTGCCTATTGCTGCTCTTCTCAGCTTTAAAGTTTTCAGCACCAAAGATTGTTCCGAACTCAAATTTATTCTTCTGTGTTTGGTGAGGCCAAGCTTGTTCAGAAAGTAGTAAACATTTCATATTTACTTCCAAAATATTTATATTTTTCATTTTTATAGAACAAAAATGCAACTTTATATATGATATGGAAGTTCTCTTGTGTATCTCTGTTGATTTGAAATGGTCAGTTGTTCTTATGATTTCATGCTACAAAATCAAGAGTACTTGTAATGGAAAATTAAAAGAACATTGGTAACAATTTTGTTAATGAGCTTGTGTTATAAAATGAAACTTCAAGGAAAAGGTTTATTTTTACATGCTTTTTAACAGTCAGAGATTAATCAGTTTCTTTAAAGTTATCTCACATAAGAAGCTTAAGTGTTGTACTTTGTGGTAGAGTAACATAGGTAATTAACATTTAAACAAGGATATGGAGCAAGTGTTATTCTCTCATTTCTAGTTATGATATATTATTTACTGAATATTTTTCAACAAGATGCTGTCTGTTCTAAACCCCATAGAATAGGACTGTAGCAGAAAACATTACTTTGTGGTTGTTTGGGTTTTTTTCCCTGAAATTTCCAGGATTTCGATCCCTTCATGGAACCAGACATAAGATTAGCCACATTGACCTTCACAGCAACTGTGTAAACAATATGAATCACTTACTTCAGTGCACAAAGGGGCTGCACTGTTTGACAAACCTCACGCTGGAAAGGAACGGAAAAGCCAATCCAGTTTGTCACATAGCAGGTATGGATCTGATCTTATGTAGATAATTTGTGCTCATTACCTCAGTGATTTCCTATAAGGTGTAAGCCATTTTCTGAGGCTTGCAAATTCATTCATAAACTGGCCAGCCTGCAGAAATCTAAATTCTGTCAAAATTAATTCGTTTTCCATTTTAAAAAATCCTTTTTTCCCCGACAGCATATTCTCAAAATTGTAAATTGTATGCTTAGAGAAGGCTCAACATTTTCATTTGTGAGTCCAGTGGAGGGCCACCAACATGATTAGAGGGATGGAGCACCTCTCCTATGAGGAAAGGCTGACAGAATTGGGACTGTTCAGCCTGGAGAAGAGAAGGCTTCAGGGTGACCTAATTGTGTCTTTGCAGTACCTGAGAGGAATCTAAAAGAAGGAAGGAGAGAGACTCTTTCCAAAGGCATGTAAGGATGGGACAAGGAGGAATGGTTTCAAACTGGAGTAGGTTTAGATTAGATATTAGGAAAAAATTCTTTACTGTGAAGGGTGCTGAGGCACTGGAACAGGTTGCCCGGAGTGGTTGTGGATATCCCATCCCTGGAAGTGCACAGGGACAGGTTGAATTAGGTTCTGAGCCACATGGTCTAGTGGAAGGACAGAAATATTAATATGATAAGCTGAAAAGGTGGAGAACTCAAAGAATGCATTTGGAGATACTGAATTTACAGACAGAGGGCAGGCACAGGAAATAGGTAGTCTGCTACTAATAGAGATCACAAGAGAAAGTAACAGTTAGCTTTTCCTTCTTTTCCCCCTGCTTTGGTTAGCAGTGACAGACTCTAGGATCCTCTGCAGTAATTAGCATTGTCATCCAAATAGGTGTCAGGTGTTTCACTAGGCAGCTTGGAGACAAGTTGGAGAATGCATGTGGATGCAACACTTTCAGTTGTCTTTGAGCTTCTGGTTTGGGGGTAGGTTTTTCAGGCCATTAAAATGTTACAGTTCATTAAAATGTCTAAGTTCAAACAAGTTAAATTGTAGCATTTTATACTGGTGTAGGGTTTTTAAATTTTCTTTGTATGTAAGAGAGGAAAATCTCACAGGAAGGTGGAAGTAGAGGATTGATGTTTTTGCAAGAGTTTAAAGGTAATTTCACAGAGTAGGACAGTAGAAATTATGACCATACAAAATAGCAATAATATGAGCATACAATTGATACAGATGTAATGTATGTATAGTTAAAAAGAAACACCAGGTGTTACTGAGGAAAGCCAAATAAGGTTTTAAGTAATGTTTTTAAATGCACTCATCATATTTTACAAATACATTCAGGCACTACAGAAACAGTAGCAGGACTATTAAAGTTATCTGATTAACTTAGAAAATGTCACTAGTTTTCTTCTGCAAGTATTTACATACCCCTTCATATTTATGTCTATGTGCACTTCCAAAACTGCAGTGTTCAGCAGCCCAAATTCGAATAAATTAAAAATGCTAACTTCAGTGCTTGACAGTTTCATAGTGCCTTATTTCATTCACTGCCAAAGGATGAAGTTGTCTAAGCCATTTCAGAACTTGCTTTTCCATTACATTCATCTACCCTTCCACTTGGTACAGTTGTTTGGGTGCAGTAGGCTGGTGTTGAAGGGTTGTCTGTGCAATTGCAGTGTGCTGATGGTGGCTGGGAAATCCCTTTGTAGATCAGGACTAGGCAGGCAGCTTCCCAGTTGATTTAATTTGTAATGTTGTCCGTTTAAAGTCTTGGGTGGGAAAAGATGAGACGACTGTAGGTAACTCACTATTTTTTTTCTTACGTTAAAATTGCAGTGAATCATTTAAGATGATGTTGTACCTAAAAGACACCAGGCATCTTCTTGCAAGGTTGATTTTGTGGTCTTTTTCTCAAGGTTATAGAGAAACTGTTCTTCAGTCATTGCCCCAGCTAACAGCTCTAGATGGAAGAAATATTTCTGGTGAACCAGTGGACCTGGCAGAAGAAAATTATTCAGATTTGCAGGGTTTAGAAGACATTTTGGGCTCTTTGGTTTCATCTGAGTGCCCTTCCACCCGAGATCAGGTGCCACAGTTTGTGTGTACTAGTTTTAAAATTGACACATTCCATTTTTTTTATTGCATGCAACATATTAATGCTACAAGAGTTGTCTTTTCTTCTGACAGAACAATGTTCCCTTACCGCTGGCGACACCACACATCGACCAGGCACTGGCTCAGTTTCGGCAGCGTTCAAGGGTACCAGTGCAAGGTGCCACCAGCTCCTCCACAGAGCTTGTCTCATCTTCTGAACCCGAGAAAACCCAGCTTGATAAAATACACAATGAGATGAGAATTAGAAAAATAGAAGATCAAATTTTACAGATACTACAAAAGGTGATTTTTTTTTTCTGTGATTGCACAGCAAGTTTTGTTTGTAAGATAAGGTGTGCTGTTCTGATAATGAAAATTTTGCTTTACCAGACTAGAACATTTCTACTGGTATTATAGGCTGACTCTGCTAATGTGTTCTTCATCATTTTGAGAAGCTGGGAATAAAATAAAAACAAGTCTTTAAAACTGAAGATTTCCCTTTGTATCACGAATCATTCCATACAGAATAAAAAACATAGTGAATGGGACTAGCAGAGCTATCCGATCATGTTATGTTAGAGAATTCTTTTTTTATGGTTGTTTTTTTTTTTTTCTTTATCCTGAAACCAGTCAATTTACTAACTGAACCAGAATAAAGCATGAAATGTACCAAAGTGCCTGGATTGTACAGTTGGTGAAAATTAATTTCACTAATAGGTCAACTTGGTCTGATATGCTTGTCACGTATTATAGTTTGTGTTGTTAACATAGATAACATAAGCTTGTCAGGTTTGCTTGGTACTGGTGTTTGCAAGGCTTTTTTTGGCTGTAAGTGCTGTGTTTGTTTTACATTTTTCACCAACTGCCTAAGGATTTTACCAAACTAAAGGTACTTCAAAAGGAAATAACTATATGATCTCAAGCATCCTGGGTTTACTTTACCTTTAAAACAACAAAATATTTCAGCAAGTAGGGAAGGGATTGTAAAAGTAAAAAACTGGAAGCAATTGTTTAGTTTTTGTCAAAATTATTTTGTGTGAACGTTTTTAAAATTGCACCTGAATAAGTGTTAGCCAATCAGCAATATTAAAATTTGTATCTAAAACTTTGATCTCTTCTTAGGTATCTGATAGTTCAAGACAGGAAGCTGCTCCAAGTGCTCTCAAAGCTAAGAGAGACACGGATCCGACTTCTGAGAGTGAAAATGAGAGTGGAAAAGAGAACAACAGAAAGGTCATGAAAGGAAGCAAGATCCCCACTTACCGTAAAACTGCATTATCTACAAAAGGTCATGCAAGTCATCTAAAGAAGAAAATTACTAACAGGTATCTCAGTGCTTACTATATAAAGCCAAAATTCATTAAACTGAATATTGTCAGCATGAACATAGTTTTAACTTGAAATATTTCACTGGAAGTGGTAGGTTGAGTAAATCAAGTCAGTTAATAGTACCCTGAAAATGAGTAGCTACTGAGGCTTCATTCAGTTGTTTCTCCACATGAGCTGTTTCTTTCTTCAGGTTGAGAAGGAAATTGAACTGAAGATTCCAAAACAAGAACTTTCAAAATCCTAACAGCTTATGTTTCCGTCTTTATTTTAAATTGTGGTGGCATAAGAATTCTCCACAGATGGAACTGAGTAATTAAAAGATTCATGGTCTCAGATAATGGTCAAGATTATATATCTTTGAAGCTCATGATGCCATGGTGATCTGTTTGATTTGTATAGTAAATATCAGAAGTGATGAGTAGAAGACAATATAAATTGGAATATATTTGTTCAGTCAGCTACTGAAGCTCTAGAGCTACTCTTCTAAAATTATTTGTGTCTATGTGATCATAAGATGGTTTTAGGTAGCATCTGCTAGTTGTAAGTGTCTTTTTAGAGCTGAATATTTGAATGGAGTTGTTTCTGTGGTCTGATTGCAAATTATTTTCTAAATGGTTTTGAACTGTTTAGTGTTTAGCTGCTGCACTAAACTGTAAATTTTTTTCATTTAAAAGTGTCTGAATCCACTGTTATTCTTCAAACTCTGCATATAGGGAAGAGAAGAAGAGTTCCTCTAAGTGTCCATGCTCCATTCAGAATGACTCTCCTTTTAAAGTAGTGGGAAGAAAAGCTGAAATATTAACTGGAAGACAGAGCAATATGGAAAAAGTAGAAGAATGCAATTCAAATCCCATAGAGGAATCAACATACCGAGTAGGTGTTGTATCATTTCAAGTTACATATATCATCATCTGAAGCCAAACATGTCTCCTGGTCAAACTAAAGCTGGAGGTCACAAAAATAATTGCATGTAGATATTACCAAATGTAGTGGAGTTCTTGTAGTGCCAGCTGAGAGAGGATGTATTTTATTTCACTTCTATGGCAGTTTTTGGCCTGGTTGCTTGCATTTTCTTCTGTCATCCATCAATTCCACTAAGACAGAAAAGTATTGTTCTATTATAAATAGTGATTATCATTTTTGGCTATGTTTGAATGTTTCCTAGTAAGTTGATGCTTATCACATTCTTGCTAAGGCACTAATTCAAGAACTGGATCAGGAGAAAGAAAGGAGGTGGAAAGCAGAGCAAGCAGAGAAGAAATTATTAGAGCATGTCAGTGAGCTACAGAAGCATGCAAAAGAAGAAAAGAATATTCAGAGTATGGCTTTATTTACCAGAGACAGGTAGGGAAATAATGCTATAGTCTAAGAGTTTGTTATGTTTTGGGTTTTTTTAGTTTCCAGTAATTCATTTTGTAGGCTTAAGAAACAAGGGCAGCTTTAAACAATATACTTGGAAAATAAGGCTTCAAGAAGTAGTGCTAGAATTTCTCTCAGTATTACCTGGTAAAATTCCTTTCTGCAGCTTCCTTCCTATTCTTGTCATAGAACATTATCAGTATGCCACTTTCCTCCATTTCTAGCCATTACTTTCCAATGTATATCATAACTATACCTTCAGTTCAAGCTCTAGTAGCTGTCTCATATCATACTTCTGCCTTATGTGTCCCAGTCTCCCTTTCCACATACACCTAGAGTGTTCTTTGCTTTTTTCTGTGCAGCACATTAGAACAAAAATGTTTCTGGCAGGCTGGAGTTGGCCCATAGGCAATGTATTGTGCAGGGCAGGCCTAGCACATCTTCAGAGAGGTGGTTGTCACCATCCTTGTGTGTCCTGAGCAGCAACCTTTTTTTTTTAAAGATCTCCTTATTTTTGGCGATATCTGCTCCATTTGGCTTTTTCTTAACTGTCTTGTATTTATCAAAGCCACATTTGCTTTCTTTGAGGAAAAACCAAGCCATGTGCTTCCTGAGTACCATCCATGACTGACTGTGAATATTTCCCTTTTTTCCCTTTTTGTTTTAGGTTGACTTTCAACTTTTATTTTATACCAATCTACATTTATACCGTCTTCTATAAGAAGCTTATTATGTTCCTGTAAAGCAAAGTAATACTTAAATGGCATTTCCTAAAAGATGTATCTATGAGGTTGTCTCCATCTGAGGTTTTTTGAATGAATCTCATGTAGTAATGCTGCACATGACTTAACAGTTTATGTCCCTTTAAACAGTTTTATATGACAATGCTATGAAAAGTAAAATGCAGTAAAAAACAAATGTGTTGCTACAACAGCTACTAATGCCTTTTTCTCAATGTATTTGCCATGAAACTTACAAGTAAAACATTTATAATACAACTGTACTGCGTTTATTCTCAGGTTAAAGGAATTGATATTGAAAGAGAGAGATGCCAAAGCAAGACTGCAAGCAGATGTCCAACAGCTGAAAGGTGAAACTGAAAGACTTACTAATGAGCTAAATCAGGCAAGAAATAAAGAAGCAGAATATCAGAAGGCCATGCGAGCTTTAGAAGAAGCACTGTCCAAGATGGAGACACAGAGGTTGCAGCAGCGAGCAGCAGAGGTAAATATTTTTCATGAGTAAATAATGCAATGACAACAGGATTACTACCGTAGTCCTGAATACAAACAAATGCTAGGTTTTACTAACACTGAGTCTGAGTTTTCCACAATAAAACCTGGGGCTTTTTTTCTGCATAACTGTAGTTAATAACGGGTATGCATTTTAATTGTCAATTAATGTATATTATAAATGATGGCCTTACGATAAAGGAGAACAAGTCCTATGTACTTAACACTCAGAGTTGATATTTTCTGAAAACACAGAGTAAGAAAGACAAGTTTTTAAAGTTGCTAAAATCAATAGACATCTTACTACTGGGATGGAAATCTAGTGGTTCTGTTTGTTTCGCTGGTCTAAAGAATTACATGCTTTTAATTGCAACCACAACAAAACAGTAATTGCTGAGAACATTAAAGATTCTGATTCGTTTGTGTGATGTTTTGTATTTGTTTGTTTGGGATTTTTTGATTTTGTTTTTACAGCTGGAGAAGATAATGATGCTTTTGTAGTCAGAGGCTCTTTGTTGAGCCTCTATATTTATATACAAATATATAAGATCAAGATGCTGGACCATATACTGCCACTATGTCTTTCTGAGAAATTAATTGCTGAATTTTCAGTGTCCTCCAATATCTACTCCTTTTGTTTGTTTATATTCCTATGTTAGTCCATTCCTGTGTCACTGAACTTAGAGAAAATTATTCTTAACACATTCTTCCTGAAAAGTCTTTGAACTGATGGTGTGGTGCTCTAGGAAGTTTTGTTGTTTAGGTTCCCTGAAAGGAATGAATCTGGGAGTGTCCTGACAAACTGCAAAGTACCATCCAAGACACCCTCTACTTTAGGCTTCTGTTTGGGTACTTGAGTGGCTCTTCCATTTCTTCCTTAGCTGTACATATCCCGGAGCTATTATGGAATCTAGAGGTGACCTTCAGTTTAGGTCAGGTGTCTGCCTGTCAGTTTGAAAAGTACTAAATTTAGTGATTTGGAGAACAGGAGAGTAGGATTTGCATGTGTGTGTGTTTTTTGCTATCTTATAAGAATGGAAACACCTTACTGATGTATAAGGCTTCTATTTTTCCCTCAATGAGTTTGTAGAAATAAGTCATCTCTTTTGGTGGTAGTAACATTGTTTTTATTAAGGGAAGGTCTTTGTTCCTGTCTTTAAAATCCTGTAGCAAATACTCCTTAATAATCATGTTTCAAAGAATAATCATTTTGCTCTCAAAACGAAATCCTCTTTTTGCATGTTCAGATTTACTATACCTTTGGCCTGTTTTATAAATTCCAAGATTAATAAATTCTAGAATATTTCATAGAGCTTTCTCATAGTACATTCCGGCAATCACTTTCAGTGGTTAATTATTGTTACTCCATGTAGCCACCACTGTTTAAGGCCTTCAGTCAGCATTACTAAATGACTGCTTGAAGGGATTCAAGATTAGTAAGTTTACTATGCATGTAAATGTGTACCCTATTCCCTTGTTCTTCCTTGACATTTTTGTCAAAATGTGCTCTTCCTTGACATTTTTAAGTGCTTCGATTTAGGAAGGAATACAGTGTGATGTGTCTAAAAGTTACTCATTAATCTATTCATGAAAAGGCTTAACATGTAGAACATAAAAACTTAGCCTTCTCAAGTGTTCTGATTTTGAATTACCACTTAATGAATAATCACAACCTTTTTTATAACTCTTTTCATATCTTTTTTCTTCATGTTGAATCAGAAAAGAGTTTTGTATTTAAAGGGCTTAACTCTATAAAATGGAATTACTCATAAAAGCTCAAATGGAAAAAGTGGAGTATGCCATCTGGTGTTTATACTGATTCTACATTTTTTGTAAAATCATTAGAAAGCAGCTCTGTTCAGCAACTCTAAACTGTACAAATCAGAAAGGTGGAGATTTTTATAAAGCAAAGTGTTAACAAAATGAAGTTAATGTTGAATACATCTAAAAATGTTTTGTTTGAATCTAATACAAGTATTACAATAAAAGAGTTTCTAATTGAGGATATCATTCTACCAATGCACTTCTTCCACTTCTGGAGGACACCTTGAAGTTCTTTACAAATTAAGGAAATGCCCTTGGTTCTTTATCAAGGCTGCTTTTTGAGTTGTAGGAATTTAAGACTTTATTTTAAACATCTTGTCTTAAATTTCTTCAAGTGTTAAAATATATTAAGAAAAAAAATAAATAAATCAAGCAATAAACCCCAAACAAACTCTTAGAAAGCACCTGTTCATTTGTGTTCTACTATAAAAAATGAGGATTTGATTACAGTTTTAAGAAAATCTTGCTCTTTATGACACAGATGAAACAGGTGCAAGAAGCAGAGCTTAAAGCATCAGCAAATGAAAGAGAAGTACAGTTACTTCGAATATCTGTCCGACAACAGAAGGAGAAGGTAAAACAACTACATGAGCTTCTGGTATTAAGAGAGCAAGAGCAAAGGTATGGGGTCATTGTTTTCTTTTCACAAGTTAACAGAGATGCTTGTGTTGCCAACGTGTTTTGTTTAAATGTGTTCTAAAGTATGGATGTGCTTTAGTTCAGGTTTGGTTTGTTTTGGATTTTTTTGATTAGCGGGAGAGATGTTTTTTGTAAAAATGTAGACGTCTTCCTACACATTTTCTTACTCATTTAGGAATATCTTGTACGTTCCTGATTCATAAGTTCATGTAGGCAGCTTAACCTTTCATGTGAAAGGTCCCTTTCTTATAATATGGCCAAATTTTTTATTTTAAATACTTGATCTGTAATCCAGGAATAATCAGACAAAAATAAAATCGTATTTGAATTGTATTTGAACTGAAGAGCTGCATATGCTACAATAACAAAGCGTTCTGCAGCCTCTGCAGAACCTTGCTTGTTGGGTGGAGTGTGAGTTACTTGCCTGGCTGCTTTCCTCTTTGAAAATTTCTCTTTTTTGGAGAATACTTGAGGCTACATGACGTGAAACTGTACTTGAGGCTTCAACATTGTCCTTTTAGGTCCATGTTGCTGCTGCTTTTCAGGTTTTGGGTCTGAGTGAATAGCAGCAGTTGTTGGGTGAGGGTGAGAGGAATAACTGACTGCAGAAGAGGGTGTCTGGCTGTACAGGGCTTTTCTCTGATTCTAATGTCACTTCCAGATGTTTGTTAACAGCAAAGCAAACAAGTGCTAAATCACAGCAAAAGCACAATTGAATAATTTCTACAAATGTTTGAATTCTAAAGTAAGCATATTCCTTTGGGTGTTTTTAACAGTAGTCAACAGAATTTTCCTCATGCTAGGGCTATTGTCAGAGAAGACTGAAGGCTGTCTGTAAGATGAAGGAATTTACCCCATTTATTATGTAATTCATTATCCTTGTTCAGTAAGACCAAGAAAATGAATTAAAACAGCATTGTGAGATCGTGCAGTTCATGTCCCAGGTATATGCTTGGTAATTTTAGGAAAGAACTTGGAACCCGAGTTGCTTTAAATGGACCTGAATTTCAAGATGCTTTGGCAAAAGCAGTGGCTAAAGAGGAGCAGAGGCATGAACAGCATGTTAGAGAATTGCAGGAGAAAATTCACATGTCAAACCAGAAGTACAGAGAGCTAGAAGATGAATTTCGTTTAGCTTTAACTATCGAAGCTAAAAGGTTTAAAGAGGTAAGACTAAGAGAACATTTCATCTCACACTAGGTGGGGTTATAGTTCTTTTAAATGTGTTGGGTTTGGGTGGATATTCTGGGTGTAGTTTTTTGATGTTGTGTTGGGTTGGTTTTTTATCCCTATGATCTTTGCTCCAAGGATTCATGCAAGAATATTGGTAGAAAGGTTTGAAATATCAGTGATTGGAACAAGGACAGCAAATGCCAAGTCAGCATTCAAAACCCCCAACATTTTTGTTCATATGTAGAACTTAATCAAAAGAAATTTTAAAAACCCCTTTTGTCTGATGTTATTCATTTCTATTAAAATATGTTGACCTTCAATTAGAATATACTGAATTACAGTAAAACCTGTTGTGTTTGTATTTTGATAAGGTTATCGTTAAATATATATATACAAGTGTATTTAGTAATATAGTTCTTTATTGTGTAAATTTTCAAAATTTAATTTTGGATATATATTTTGCAACTCAAATTCAAATCTTGCTTGCTAAATTACTCAAGAATTTATTTCTGTGGCTAGTATTTACATTTTTATATGTTAAATAAAATATTAAATTCTTCACCTTAAACTTGGTTTTCTTTGTTTTAAATAAGTTTTAAATAGATGGGAGAGGAGGGGAAAGAAAAGACAGGGATTTTGCCCTTCAAATCTTTCTGTTACAAGAAAAAAAGTCTTGATTAACTTTGTCCTTCTTTTGCGATTTCAATGTCAGTTTTAACAATGAGATTAAATTAAGGCACTGTTTTTAGCTCCCAAGTGTGGTTTTTCTGCTCTGCTTCCCATCCACCCATGACTTTTTTGTTCTGTGTGTGGGGGTTTTTTTGTTTGTTTGGGTATTTTTGTTATGTTTTGTTGGGTTTGGGGTTTTATTACAAATATGCAGCTGGGTGAACCAGTTTTTCAAGTTGTAGTTTCATGAACAAACCAGGAGAAAACCGGTGTCAGATATTTACTAATTTCCTATAGACTTGATGAATTTCTGTGTCTTCACTTGAAATTCAAATGTCAGTTTATGTTTATATATGCATATTTTTTTCCAAATGTTAACATTTTTCAAGTCTTGTCTTATAAAATTTTAGGTAAAACAGGGGTTTGAAAAGGCTTCTGCTGATCTAGTTGAACACAAACAAGCCCTGTTTGAATTGGAACAAAGGGAAAAAGACATGGCAAGTCTGATCCAAGACCTGACAAATTTAGTAGAAGAACAGAAAGCAAAAATTGCAGAACTAACAAAATCAAACGAAGAAGCTACAGCAAACCTAAAGGTATTTGTTTCAAAACATTTCAACTACATTGATTATTTTTTGTGATGTTTCATCTATAAAAGTTAATGCTTCCATACAAGCTTGATTAACTAAAAGACACAGGTTTCCTATTGCACTAAAACCCAGTAGTGCACATCAGCCTTTATTCTTGCATCTTGCACTTCTATTTCTCACAAACACTGCTCCCCATAGAAAAATGTCGACTCACTCATGTTTTGGAAAGTGCACTCTTTGCGCAGTGACCAGTAGCAGTTTTTATATACCTGTTGGTCCATCAAAACTACATTAATAGCTCTGACCCCATATAAATTCAAAGAAATGGAGCATGCCTCTGCGCTGGTCACTTATACAAAGTAGAACTACAATTGAACAAATAATGCAGTGTAGTTATTAGCAGCTCAGTATCTCCCAGTTGTATAATATTAGAAGTATTATTCATTATCTACTGCGTGTCAGATTTTAATCTTAAGTACTGTGGGCACAGTTGCTTTGAGGCAACACATTCTAGTACTATTTTATTATTTATAAGTAATTTTTTTTTTAATTTAAAGGACATAACTTTTAAATGGTTGTGTGACCAGTCCAGCTTTGTGCTAAAACGTGGGTGGAATACAACCCCTGCATAGCTATTTCTAATCTCCCCTCTACGTGTTGTTGTTGTTAGGGTGCCCAAACATTTTGTTGTTGTACAGAATATTATTCTGTCAGTCAGTGATGCTTTTAAGAACAAAATTGAAAAATACCTATATTAAATAGCTGTAATCTGTGAAACAAAATGTAGCTTGGATAACTGAAAATATATATTTATCATTGGAAGTGAAAGTACGTCCCAGCTTCTGTCTTCTGATTGAATTTTTAATATCTTTATCTTTCGCTTCTCTTGACTTGTGCATTTATAATTCTAAAGAGGTTTTTATGATTACATTAATACTTTAGAGTGGGTATTTACAGTTTTCTGGAATTGAAGTATGTCTATTTGAAGGAAACATTTGTGTTTCACAACTGGAATGAGATGCAGATAGAGCCCTGAATGCAAGCAGAATATTTCTCATTTGACTTGATTTGGTGTATATAAGGATTACTTTCCTTACCCCTTAGTATTGATTTGAAATTTTGCATATTGTTTGAAAGGATCTTACTGTCTTTTCCCAATGTTTGTTTGTACAGTGTCGAACTGGAGAACTTGAAACTCTAATTGAGGAGGACAAACAAAAGGCTATTCAAGTGGAACTTCTAAAAAAAGAAAATGTAAAACTTATTTCCCAGCTGACAGCCCAGGAATCTGTGATTGATGGATTAAAAATGGAAAGAAAAATATGGGGGCAGGAGTTGGCAGAACAGGGTAAAACAGTGGGTTTTTTTTCTTTGGCAGAAAAAAAATGGTGTTCAATATCTTATATTTCAAATACACGCTCCAATAGATTTTAATCATGACAAGGTCCTTGGATGCCTTCCTGATCTTATCCAGTTGTAAAGATGATATGCAAAAATAAATGTTCTGTTTATCAGGCACATGGGCTGATACAGGATCTGTAACAGCAGTTGTGGAAATCAGCTGTGAATACAGTTTACCTGTTTCCTGAAGATGTGAAAATGCCATGAAATTGTACAAAGAACTTTTAAATGTGAAACTAGAAAAACAAGGATCTATAAATAATGTTATGTAATGCTTCTTGTCTAGCAGGGAAATCTAATATGGAAATTTCAGTATATATCTTAAAAGAGTGTTAAATGCTGGAAGAAAAAAGTTTGGGCATTTTTCTCTATTCCTGTGATTCAGCACCACCTTGTGGTCTTCAGGGGTCTGTAAGAATTATTGTCAACTATTTTTCCAAGAAATTGTCATAAAGGATAAAACAGAGACCTTCAGGTCTGCATTTCCTCTGAAGTGTTACCTACCCACAGATTAAATCCCTACAGTGTTTCCTGTGGGCAAAACAGTCAAACCTTTGGTTTGTAAGGTTCTTACCTTTACCTCCCCCAGCCCAATCTCCCAACATTCTACATCTTGAAATCGGTATCCTGTTTTGTCCAGGAGCTCATCTTGCACAAGATCGGGGGAAACTGGAGGCAAAAATTGAAATTTTAACAAATGAGATTGACACGTTAAAAAAGCAGAAGGAACAGGACAGTGATACCATAAAAATTAAAAACAAAATAGTGGATGATCAGACAGAAACAATTAGGAAACTAAAAGAAGTAAGTGCCATATCTGACAGTTTGTGTGCTTAACTTTCACTGCAAGTTTTCGTTTTAGCTGTCACAAACCCTTTGATAAAAGCTGGGTCTGCACTTCCAGTTTTCAGACTCACAAATCACAGTCAGGCTTTCCATGGCAATTCATTTCACTGAGAGCAGAAGGGGGCTTTTTATTAAATACATGCACAGTGATACTACTTTGAATAGCTCATTGAACCATATTTATGTACAGACTTTCTTCTCTTTGCCTTGCTTCAGTTTATTCATGATAATGATTTTGAGAGAGATGAAACCAAGATAGCATAATTCTTCTTAAGTGTTTAAAAGGAAAAATTATTTTTAACAGTTTGCCTCACATTTGTTTTACAGCATAAATATTTTTTATTTATTTTGTTCGTGTAAAATAGCATTTTGGCAGCAGAAGTAATATGTTTTGCCCCAATAATTCCATTTGTCTCATTTAGAGACTTGAACGCTTAACTTAATAATCAAAGTTTTATAGTGTTACGTCAGTCAAAGTTAGATGCATAAGTTATTGTTACACAGATTGTGAGCTCAGTGACTTACATATAAGTTGTTTATTCAACTCTTATGTAGAATAAGAGTTCAAAATAACTTTATTCTTATCTTGCTTTCAACTTCAGATTTATGTTTTAATGACTTTTTTTAAAATTCAGACTTCTGTCAGATGAAGATGCTGAATATCACTTTGTTAAGTGTTATTCATACATTCAGAAGAGTAAACTTTTATGTTGTTCTCTGCTTTATTCCATCACAGACTAAACACATACTCTTAAGGGGTAACAATAAAGTTAAGGGAGTTTGTGTGTTCTAAAGTATTTATCTTCTAAAGGGCTTACAAGAAAAAGATAAACAAATCAAAAAACACCATGAAGAAAATCGGGAAGCTCAGAAATTGCTTCAAATACAGTTGGATGAAAAAGCTGCTGAATGTGAAAAGCTAATGAAAAAATTAGAAAGGCAAAATGAAAGAAAAGAGGAATTAAAGCAACTGCTAGAAGAAAAAGAAGTGGAACTTGATGACATTAAGAATGCACACAGGTGATACCTACAAATCACAATAATTCTTTGGGATCATTGCATGCAACACTGCTCTGAAGTTATTCTTGCTTGCTATGAAAACCCACAGAAATGAGGAAAAATGGAAGCTTGAGAAACTTTTCTGCCTTCCTAAGAAGTGGTATTTATATTCATTGTAAATATGTGCATTTTTTTTTACAGTGCACTGAAAAAGAGGTGGCAAGGTAAAGGAGAGCTATTAAGCCAGCTGGAGGTGCAGGTTAAACAAATGAAGGAGAACTTTGATTTCAAAGAGAAGAAGCTGATTGAAGAGAGAAATAAAAGTCTTCAAACTCAAAAGTGAATACTTTAATAGTTTATTTTGTGACTATTCAATTACGGTAGAGTTGCATTATCAATAACTGTGCAGAAATGCTCAATTATGTGGTGAAATAACGTGTAACACCTTTTTAACTACTTGGTGAGCCCAGTTACAAACTGGGCCTAGAAGGAATTCTTGCTGGAAAAGTGACTTACTTCATGGAATTGGCATTCAGTTACAGCATTCAGCATCTGAACTTCTTTATTTCCATTTTCTTTGAAAGTAACCTCATACAATTGGCCTCATCCCATCAATCCAACCTGTCCTAATCCCTTCAGTAGAGCCTTCCTGTCCTCCAGCAGATCAACACTCCTGCCCAACTTGGTGTCTGTTAATTACTGTTTCAGTCTGTGACAGACAGTTTCTAAATTACCTGTCATTCTTTTCCCATACAAATAGCAAGATTTATTTTCTTGTTCCTCTTGCACTGTCAATTTCTTCAATCAATTAATAGTTAAGTATGAGATGATACAGAAACAGGTACTCTGAACAATTATTTCACATGCTTCTGGAATGATGGAGAAGTTTACTAAACTGATGATTTTTACTTTATTCTTTGTTCCCCTTCTCATGTTTTTCTGCCTTCCTCCCAACTATTCTTGATAAAATAACAGCTAGTTAATAAGACTGCATGAGAATAAAAAAACAGAACTACAACAAATCAAAAACAAACATTAATAACAAAAAAGCCAAGCAAAACAAACCACCTCAAATAGTCAATAGGATTGGGGTTTGAAACTGTCAGAAGATCAATAGTAAAACTGAAATTTTTATTCTAAATAATTCTGGTTTGTTTCAGAATTTTGTTGTTAATTATTATGTAAAATTGCCTTGCATTTTGTTCCTGTATATTTAAGAATTATCCCTTATAAGCAGAATTTGCTTGCAGTTAAAGAAATGCTTCTTTATGGTGAAGGAGATACTTTTCTGTTTCTGTGAGACACAGGCTCACAGGCTGTTCACAGGATCACACATTTCATTCACTTCTTGGGACTCAAAAGCATAAGGAGCTGCTTGAAAATAGGTAGAGTTCTTGTCCGTGTTGACAGTAACAAGCCCTAATCTTCATATCCTTTGCTAGTGATTAAATGCCTCTCCTTAGAGAATGCCAGAGGTCCTAAACACAGTGCATAAAGCTAGAAATTATACTTGAACAAACAGGACACTTCTGATGCCAATATATAATTGTCTTCATGCTTAAGTTGTTAAAATCTTATCAAAGGCAGAACTGGACAAAGCAAAATACTTCAGTTGTTTGCAGGATAGTGATTTTTTTTTCAATAATTTTTTTAGGATTGCTGTGGAAAAGCTTCATAAAATGGATAATGCCTTCAGAAAGCAACTTGAGTCAGTGTTGGCAGCACATCAGGAAGAACTCTTGCAGCTGGAAAATGAAAAGGAAAAACAAATTGAAGCAGCAAATGAAAAAGTAATTTTAATACTCAATTTATGCATTTATTGTATTTGTGTTTTTATTCTACAGCTGCTACAAGTGTGGTGCTTGGAAGTCTGTTTGAATCTATCAGGCTGACTGGATGGAAACAGTCCTGGCTTAGTACGCAATCTTTGCACAGCAAGAAAATCTCTAGATTTGTGCTATTCTAATGTTTTCTATTCAAGCAAAGTAAAGCTCCATGCTATGCAGCTATTCTGAATCAATAACTAAACATTTCCTTATCTATACAGGCAAGAGTAATGATGACTATGCCAGATAATCCATTTAACTCACCTATGCCAACCTTAACTATTACTGTTTCTGTCATCTACTGCATTCTTCCTTAACATGACAACTGGTGCTTTTTTTCCTTAATAAGTTTCCTGTATTGTTACAGCACTTCCTACCTCCTAGCAGATTAATACATTTTTTAAAGAAAAAATTCTGCTTCTGAATCCAGTATCAAGAGTAATGCATTGCAAATTCAAACATAAGCATATAACTCTTTCATTGCTTACCAGTGTTAAAAATTGCCAAGATTATATGGGTTGAAGTGTATTAAGAAAAGCAAGAATTCGACTTCATCTCTGTGCGCTCTTTCAGGTCTACTCTGTTGAAGAAGAAATGCGGGAGCTTCTGCAAGAAATGGCAAACAATAAAAAAGCCATGGAAAATAAAATACGACGACTTACAAATGCATTGAATGATATTCAGCAAGACTTTGAAGATTATTAATATTTATACTAAAAATGTATATTACACAAGCAGTTTCATCCACTACAACGCACTTTTCCTTGTTTTCTAGAGAATTAAGTCTTTGTTGTATATTTTGATAGTTCAGGGAGCAGACAAATGTTTTTATGTTATTTTCATAATAAACAGTTATTTCTAACCTTTGTTTATTTTTAGCTTCTCTCAAAATAGGTCAAAACATGTATAGATGAAAAATATCATATGAAATTAGGAATTAGCATGTTTAGTAAGAGAAAAGGAAGTTGGAAAGTTCTAAGCCAAAAGCCTGAAGCTTTGTTTCAGTCAGATAAAGATTCTTGTAATGAGGGAACCAGGAGTGTTGAATCATGGAAGGGCTTGTTTTGAAAGGGACCTTAAAGATAATCTAGTTCTGACATCCCTGTCATGGGCAGGGACACCTTCCACTAGACAAGGTTGCTCAAGAGCCCCATCCTACCTGGCCTTGAATACTTCCAGAGATGGGGCATTCACAACCTTTTTGGACAACCTGTTCCACTGCCTCACCACCCTCAGTAAGGAATTTTTTTCGTATCAGCTAATCTAAACCTACTGTCTTTCAATTTAAAACCATTCTCCCTTGTCCTGTCACAACATGCCCTTGTAAATAGACTCTCCATCTTTCTTGTACCTGAAAACAGGTTTAATCTGCCACTGCTGGAGAATGTGCAACTCCTGCAACTTAGAGTGGCTTTTTTGGCAGAGTAGTTTGGTTTTCTCCACAGCAATAGGTTCCCAACCAGGCTTTTGAAATAAAGGAGATAATAACCTAGAGCTTCTTATGGAAGCAAAACATAACCCTTATATTAATATATGTATTTCATGGTGGAGGCTTTACCATCTCCACAGTACTCGGGTGTTGACTTCATTTGCTTGTTCTCAGAAGATCCTAAACTGGTACTGAACTACCCCATCCTCTGAAGCATTTTCATGCTGCTGAAGTAAAGGGAGCCGTGAGCAGTAAAAGCACGGGGACACGCTGGTACACCAGGTGGGGCTGTTTCCTCTCCCCTTGCACCTCGCAGTAGCTGCAGCAGAGTCCTGTTGCTCCAGTGACCATAGCAGCCCCTAAACCGACTTTACCATCAGTTGTTCAGAACCCAGGATTTAGCACATTGGCACAGTGCAACTAAAGGTGCATTTTCGTGCCCAGCGGCCCTTTTTTTAAGTACTTTTTTTAGTGCTAGTAAAAAGCCCTGGCCTTTGGGTAACTCTGTGAGGCTTGCTGGTTTTGTTATCCATTTGTTAATGAAGCTTGCTGTGTGAACCAGAGCTTGATACATGCTGCTTCGTTATGAGGTGCAGCTTAAGGGATGACAAAGCCTTGAAAACATGGGCACAAATTAAAAGCAGAGGCCATGGCAGTGAAAACAACATCCTAATGATCAGTGACTAGTCTTTAACAAAGCACAACATTGAAATCTGGGAACAAACTCCATTTTAAAAATGGAAGTAGCAGTAACAAAGAAAAAAATTTAAAAGGCAGTCCAACAACTGAATAAGGCACTGCAAGAGCCTAGGAAAACACTCCCCACTCTGCTTTGCACAGGGGGAAGTGTGTAGGGCTGGGAATTGCCTCTAGATTTACCCTTAGAAAAGAGTAAAATTTTTGAAGGGGACTGAAAGCAGACACCTGCTTCACCTCTGACTCCCTGCATGGAGTTCCCACACCTGACCCATGGAAACACCATCAGCAATAATGGGGTGTCTGCACTGTGGCATTCTCACCTAAGGTAGGAAAGAGCTGTTAAGGACTGTTTGCTTGGAATCTGTGCCATTGGTTCATAATATACCAAAATTAATATTGGTAATGGTTAGCAGGGTGTAAGAAGAAACTCCATCAGTTTTCTAAGGCAGAAGAATTATTTCTTACTTTTGTGCTCTATATACTCCATCCACAGTATGACAGGGAAATGCTCACCTGGAAAGCTGTTCAATAGTACTTTCATGGATACCATTGGTGCAGAAAACATGCACCATTTCAGAGTGCTTTTCTGGCAGGTTGATCAAGTGTTTCCTGGGGCACTTCTTTTTTTCTTTGTTTATTATTTGACCAAGCTACACTTTGGGTGAAGTAATTGAATACCTGGAATGCACCAGGAAGTTAAAAGAACTTATTCTTGCCCTGATTCATTTTCTTAATATCTCCTCTGAGTTTTAACTCCAAAATCATAATCTGAAACTTTCTGATTTCATCATAGGGAGTTGTTAACGTTTTAAACATGAGTTCTTTCTATTCCCTGCTCTTGGCTCAGGAATTTCCTATTACAGCACTTGGGAACATGCATATGTTAGATGTGCTTGGAACATTTGTTTTTCTTGCAGATGACTCTGTCTTTGGCATTGTTTCCCTCTTTATGCTTACATGGCTTCCTTAGAGCTTTTTAATAAGTGTTTAAATTATTTTTACCTTCAAAATGGTAAAATAATAAAGACATGATGCAGGTGAAAGCTGCACCAAATTTACCTAATCACAAGGATAATTTTCAATCCAGCATAACTGAAAAACATAACTTACTAAAATAAATTTAATTAAAATATACACAAAATGTGAACACTGACCTTATCAGTTGCAAGGCATGCATGTCGTGCAATAATCGTGACAATTTAAAATCAGTTCCATTATTAGACTTTGTTTTCATTTCCCAACTGGAGAATGATCTGTTTCAATCAATGTGAGTATGGAATCAAGAAATTTTTGTGTTTCTTGAGACCGGGAGGGCTGCGGTTCCAGGTGCGGAGTGTGTTGCCGTGCACACGTTGCCTGGAACAGGGCTCGCCTGTGCCGGTGCAGCCCCTGCACGCCGGGGCACAGCCCGGTGCCCTGCTCCGCTGCCCGTGTGACGGCTGGCTGAGGGTCTGCTCTTCTTTAATGCACCCCGGGAGCTCTGACACAGTACGGACTTTACAGCTTCTCTGCTTTATCCAATGGTAACTGAGGGAAACAGGTGTACCTGAATTAAGGCCAAGTATATATGGACGCCAGTGGAAGGGGCTGGGTAAGCATCCAAAATTCCCTGTGCCCCTGGCCAGGGTATCAGCGTGTCTTGTTCCAGGCCTAGGGGGGTGTGAGAACATCATCTGCACTTAATCTAAGTGTTTTTATATCAAATGCAACCGGTGAAAAGAGCGACAAGGAGCTATCGAGGCCAGGACAGGCAGGCTCGTGGGACATGTCTAGCCGACTCCAGGCCTGCGCTACCCGTCCTGGGGACCCTAAGCAAGAGCCGGGACCGGCCCACGCCTCCCAAGGGCAATGCCTCTCTCGCAGGCCGTGGGGCAGCCCGCCCAGCCGCGGCCGGAGGGGGCCGGGCCCGTCCCTCGCCCCAGCCCCGCGGCCGGGCCGCGCCGGTGTCCAGGCAACGGTGCTGGACCTCAAAGCGGTGCGAGGGCGGGGGGGCGGCCGGCGGCACCGCCGGGCCCGGCCGGGCACAGGGCCCGCCGCGCTGCAGCCGCGGGGGCCGGGCAGGGCCGCCCGCTCCCTCCTTCTTTCCTCCCTTCCTTCTTTCCCAACCACCCGCCTCGCGTGGTGGGGCCTCCGCTGACGGGCTCGGGTGCCTGGTGATGGCTGACAGCCGCCGCGGTCGGCTAAAACACGCGTTTCGTCTCTTTATAAAGGGGTGTAAGGGACACCGTGTGTTGTGTTTAACTTACTGAGAGTGGTCTTATTTACTGTGCCCTGTTCTGGGCTCCTCAGTAGAAGAAAGACGAGCTACTGGAGAGGGTCCAGCAGAGGGCTGCAGAGGTGGTGCGGGGTCTGGAGCATCCCTTATGAGAAGAGACTGCGGGAGCTGGGCCTGTTTAGTCTGAAAAGAAAACATTGAGAGCAGGTCTCGTCAGTGCATATATATATATATACATACATATAAACATACATACATACATATATATATATATATATATATATTATTAGTGCATGCCAAGAGGATGGCGCCAGAACTCTTTGGTAGTGCCCATGACAGGACAAAAAGTAATGGCCATAAACTAAAGCACAGGAGTTCCACCTCAACATGAGGAAGAACTTCTCTATGTTAAGGGTGGCAGAGCACTGGAACAAGCGGCCATGGAGGTCATGGGGTCTCCCTCTCTGGAGACATTCAAAACACACCTGGATGAGTTCCTGTGCACCTGCTCCAGGAGACCTTGCCTTGGTGGGCGTTGGACCAAATGATTTCCAGAGGTCCCTTCCTGCCCTAGCAATTCTGTAGGGTTTTTACTGCCCTCTGTTGCTCCCTGCACTGACTCAGTGTATGGGCTGCTGTAAACCTGTTTCTTGCCCACTCCCCTCCTTTAAGCAAGAGAAAACCATGTTGGAAAACAGACCATTGCCACCTTATGCTTTCTATTATGTGTAAATGAAAGAAGCTGAATTGGCATAGGAGTGACAAATCATTGTCATCCAGTTCTGCAGCCAGTCTGCTGCCTCCAAGGCATGCGTTGGGCTGCAGCAGCTGGAGCCTCTCCAGTGATGCCCTGAGACCAGCCCACCTTGGCAAGGTCCTTGTGCCAGGAGGTCACTGTGTTGCAGCAGGGATCCTTGCCACTGTGTCCTGCCAGTTCCCTGGAGCCTGCTGCTGCTCTGGCCCAGGAGCTCGGGCCCTCTGGGCTGTTGGGTGTGCAGTACATTGAGGCGAAGGTGTGTTAACCTCAGTGGTTAAGGTCGTGAGTGAAGAGATGAGGTGTTCAGCAAAGTGCAGCAAGAGGCTGGCTTGGTGCTCTGCTTGAAGTCCTTTCTGGAAAACTGATCTATTTTTTGATGAGTCTTAATAGGCCCCAGGAGGTGAGTGGTGTTCTTGGAGCTTTTTTTGTGCATCCATGTTCAGAGCAGATGCACTTTGGTGATGTTACTCTGGCTAATGAAACTTCAGGGTGAATAGGGAAGGACGCTGATAGGTTTTATATTCCTCATTTAGTTATGCTGTGGTCTGGACAAGTTGATGAGCTCCTTATTATTAGTTGCTTCTCTATCTAGCAAAACAGAATGAAGATGTCTAGATCTTTGGGATTGTTGTGCAGCTTCCTTTAGTGTCTGTCACATCCTGAGAGATGTTCCAGGTCAATCTGAGAAGCAAAACATATTCAGTTTGAAAGACATAAGGCCCAAAACCTTGTCTTTAAGTGCCAAAGAGGATTGACTTGAACAATAAAGTTGGGCTGTGTAGTGGGATGGAGCAGTGCTTCTTGATCTTTAGTGAGAAAGGTCAGAGGGAATGAAAGGATTGATAGCCACAGAAGAGTTAAGTGGGCATTGCAACCAATCACAGGCATTTCTGCTCAAGACCTATTGGAGACTGGTTTCTGAATTACAGGTTACAATTTGTTGAAAGTAAATACTAACTGCAGTGCCTAAGGTGTTGGTGCTTTCATGAGCAGTGGGTCAGAACATACATTTCTGTAACAGGTTTTCTCCTAAATAAGCCATATATCTAAGGAAAAATGAAGACCAGTTTGTGTTAAGCCAGTGTGCTCAGCAAACTGAAGAACAGGATAGTCTTGAAATGGAACAGAGCATTCCAAGAAATTATTTGTGCAGTGAACACCTTTAAGTGTCTCTTTGCTGGCTAGTATTGACTGTCTGATGTTGTGCTACTGATTGGTATTTCTGTAGCAAAATAAGCACTAGAAAGGAAATAAAATTTGAAAACAGGTGGATTTCCAGCTTTGTAATTTAGCAATTTAGAAAGAAAATCTGTTTTATAGGACGTTTTCTGGTGATCTTTAATACCTCTATAATTGTACTTTAGCAGGGTATAAGAGGAAGCTGTGAAAGTGTTTTAGTGCTGGACACTGGTAACATCTGAGAAATTGTGGGAATGGAAGTGAGAATTTACTCGAAATTTGAATTTTGTATTTACAAAATACATATATTAAGAATAGCCCTATATAAAGAAATCTCATTATGGAATTATGTTTAAAACACTAAGGGATGTAGTATAGAAGAGAAAGAAAACTAAATTTCTATCTGCAGCAAGCCATGAGTTGCAGGGAAGAGAGAAAATGAGCAAGATGGGTGAATAAGGGACAAACCACCTGAATGGATGCTGTTCATAGTGTACAATACTTGTGCCCTAAAATCTGCAGCAAGCCATGAATTGCAGGGAAGAGAGAAAAAAGCAAGATGAGTGAATAAGGGACAAACCACCTGAATGGATGCTGTTCATAGTGTACAATACTTGTGCCCTAATTTCTTAAGTGGGCTTCATGTTTCTAGCAGAATACCATCCCTGCTGTAATGATGGCTAACTAGTGTTTCTGATCATCAGTGCAAAGCATGAGATATTGTAAAATCTGCTTGTTTTAGAAGTGTACTGGTCAGGGGCAAATAACTGCCTTACACTTGCTATACTCCACAGAAGAAGAAAGAGCCTGTCTATTGGATTTTACATTCCCTTAGTCTTTATGTTGCAATGACATTCAGCACTTCTACATAAAATTTGGCAAGAGCACCATTCAATTTAAAACTCTCACCAAACTGTTGACAGCCCTCTTGGGGAGAAAATGTTGTCATGTGGTGCAGGCAGAGTTCAGAAGATGCAGGACCTCTTTCCTTTGACAGACACATGGAGAGAGCAAGCAGGTAGTGCTGGCCCTGTGCTTTAAGATGCTCAGTAATGACTCTGCCTCGGTGTTCTAGCGAGCTCCTCCTCTCTCAAGGGCTAATGGAGCACATTTACAGCTGATTATTTCTGCTGCCTTTTGTCAGCTCCCAGGGAGCAAACAAGTTGGTGGGGGGCTACCAACCCTTAATTTTCCTGGCCTTTCATCCTTATTTCTGGGCATGTGTGCCTGCCTGCTGCTGAACCTGTGCTGTACAGTACGTTTTCTGTATTCCATAGCTCTATGCTTGGATACTTTTTTCCAGCTCTGATCCTATCTATGAGACACTCATGAGTGCTTGGCTTGAATACATACTTAATCAAAATATGAAGAGATACTAGGAGGAATAACAATAGAGTTCAGCAGCTTAACATGAGAAGGATTTTATAAAAGAATTCTGAATGTGGAAGCTACGTCCACCTGTGTTAGCAGGGCCATTGTTGCAAGTGTCCCTTTCTTGACACAGGCTAAAAAGCAATGAGTTTTAACAGTGTTTTTGACAACAGATTTGTTTCAGGAAGCTCTTTTTGTTATTTAAATTATTAGTGAATTGTTTATGTGGAGGACTGAACTTAATTTCTGATCTGTGTACTTGGCAGAAGGTATCCCATTGATAAATGTTAGAATGTCAAGGAGGAACTTCTCAATTGCATTTTAAAATATCTGTGAAATTTTTAAAAGATAACTAGATTACAAGGTTTGCACCAGAAAGTTAGAGAATTTCTAAAGTAAACTTCTCAGCTTGGAAACTGGCCCCAGCTTGTGTTAGAACTCTTGTTGTAAGTAGTTGAACTTCACAGCAGTGATTGAATTGTATATAGGGGTAGACAAGTCAAATATATGTAAGTGTGCTGCGCCCTATTGTGGGGATCTGGAGCTGGTAGTGGTGAATCTGCTGCTGCTGTTCATGGGAGCTGTGCTTTCAGCATGCAAAATGCAATAGCATTAAGAGTGCAACAATTACTTCAACTTGGAAACATTTGAAATTGGACACTCAGAAAAAGTGACTTCTTTTTTTTAAAAAAAAACCAAAAACTTAAGCTTTAGTTTCATAGCTCCAAATTTTTTAATTAGTGTCTTTTGCTACCAGTACAGTTTGAAAATACATTAAGATTAGTAAAGCATTTATATTTTGTAGACAGGTATTTGGGAAAGTTTCAAGAGGTAATGAAATCGTGTCTCCAGAGCAACTTCTTCATTGTTCAAGCCATGAGTGGTACACTACGTCCTACGTAAATATGTGGAGCAGTGGGGGAAAAAAGCAGGAAGCTGAATAGCATCTAAGTGTGTGCTGTCCATTCCTTGCACTGAATAACCTAAACAGCCTGCAGAATAACTGAAGCCTGTGAGATGTATGGGGTGCTGATTCAGCACTGTGCAAACAGCATCAACTCTTGTCACTCGCTAGATTTTTAAGGTTCTCTTGCAGTCCTTGGGAGCAGTGTGTACGTATGCAGCAGAAACAACAGATTAAGATAGCAGGTGCATACCTACTGAAACAAGTGATCAAAGAGCCTGTTTCCTTGGTGAGAACTAAACTGCACTTTATATGTATTTGTATGCATCTTGTTTTGCTAGTTAAGAAAATGCTTTAAAAGTCTCATTCAGAAGACCATACAAAATATAAATGCTGCTAATGGTGTCAGTGGAAACTGTTTAGTGGGTACATCACTGTCAAGGAGAAAGAGCAGTGTTATTACTTCATGGATATAAGAGTATTTTTTATAATCTCTTCTTTCTTTTTATCCTTTCAACTTTATTTCAGTAGAAAAAGGTAGTTGTACTATTAAGCAAAGAAATTTGGTTTTCCTTCCAGGTTATGGTTGTCTCGAGCTGTACCTTTCTTTCATATAGGCTGCTTACAAAAAGTGTACATTTAATAGATGGAACAAACTGAAAAAAATCATTATGTTCCTGTAGAAGAAATTATTTGCCTTTATGTATTAGTTCAAAATCAGAAGTCTTTGCCTACCTTTCTCTTTATTTTTCTTCTATTTGTTTAATATATACAATCCCATGTAATCATTGTATTTAAGTGTCCTGAGTAACTACAGAGTCCGACTCCTCTTTTCTTTCCCTTCTTTTAGTGAATGTTCTTTGAACTTGAGCTGCTTTTCAGGTGTCGAAGGCATGGGTAGATCATTTGCTTATTTTATATTAACTCTTTGCATCTGTTACACAAAAGTCACCATGGAGAGAAAGAAGTAAGGCACAAAGTGGTTGCCTCTGCCTGATGCTGCCTTGCTCGGAGGGGCGAGTGGTGGCAGCCCTCAGATGCGCTACAGAGCTGGCTGTGTGTCAGCAGCAACATCCCTGGCAGCTGTACCAGGGTGCTGGTTCTCAGTGTGACAGATGAGTGAGCCCTTGTGCCCTGCAAGGGTATTTGTGCAAGGACAACACTGGCCTGAAATACTGCAGCTCTCCTGCAGCCACTTTGTGAAATTACAGCCCTGTTGTTTCGTATCCTGGCACCACTGAATCCAAACAAAGGTTGTAATACCTCGAGTGCCAGTGGAATGATGATAAACTTAGTATGTCCTTGGCTTCAGAGGCTTGCCCCACTGCAAGGTATTGCTGCTTTCCTTCCATACCTTTTCCTGCCCTCCAGAAAGAGCATGGCAAGCTCCTCCATGTAGATGAATATGCTCCAGATACTGACCGTGGTCTTCGCAACCCCTGTGAGCTCCCTTCTCTGTTAGAGGATAGCCTGTTGGCCTTCAGCCAGGGGACTGCTCCCTGTGCTTTGTAGCACTGCCTGCAGGTGCTGAACTTCAGAATTCATGGTGGTATCAGGCTCTTGTAGAGTGGAACATTCTCCTTTTGAAGTTATATTAGATGGCATTTGTCCAAGGGAGTGGCTTTTACCTCAGCATGCAAGTTGCTGATACTTGTTCTCTCAACAGGCTGCTGATACGCTTGCTGTGAGGCAGAAGAGAAGGATCTATGATATCACCAACGTTCTGGAGGGTATTGATCTCATTGAGAAGAAGTCAAAAAACAGCATTCAGTGGAAGTAAGTTATGTCAGTTCTGCAAATTTTCACATGCTTAAGAGCAACAAAAATTGCCTTTTTCTACTTATTCTGACTAGATATGACACCATCAAATTAACATTGTGCTAATCAATGAGCAATGTGATGTTGTAGAAGTACAATAAAGTTGCAAGTGAACTGTATTTGTTTTCCCTTTACCTTGTGTGGGTGATATATAAAATCAAGTTTAAAGCACACAGAAGAAAATCTTTCAGAAAACTTGTAGTGCTACTTTATAACTAGCACTTGTAGTTGAAAAATTCACCCTGAATCAGTCTGGGAGAGCTGTCAGGACACACTGTCTCCACCTACCTGCCCTACCAGTCTGTGCCTATTTTCTCTTAGGTCTCTGAAGGTAAAAGCTCGAGATAAGAATTCTAGGGGATCTGGGAGGGCCATCAGGACACACTGTCTCCACCTACCTGCCTATTTTCTCCTAGGTCTCTGAAGGTAAAAGCTCGAGATAAGAATTCTAGGGGAAGGAGCTAGGGCCTGCAAAACAGTTCCAACACAACAAAAAAAAGTGTTCCAAAATAAGATAAATTTTTGTAGAGGGAAATTCTAAATTTGATCTGAATTAAAGAAATTTCATTTTCCTGTCAAAACACTCTTGGGAGATTAAATACTCATTTCCTTCATATTGAATAGTAGTAGATTTTCCAAATGTTGAAAATAGTCTTAAAAATTATCATTGGATGTTTGCTTTAGATTTTAACTTGTGGTCTCATGAACCCTTGTACCTTTTTAAGAGGAGTAGGTGCTGGCTGCAATACAAAAGAAGTCATAGACAGGCTGAGGTATCTGGAAGCTGAAATTGAAGATTTAGAGCTAAAAGAAAAAGAATTGGATCAGCAGAAATTGTGGCTTCAGCAAAGTATCAAGAACGTCATGGATGATTCTACAAACCACCAATATCCTTTTAAATTAATTGTGTGCATTTTGGAATGAGAATTAAAGCAACAGTTAAAGTGTAGGTAACGGAAAAAGCATAATGTAACTCATTTAGCAAGGTACGGCAAGTATTTTTTCGGGTTTTGCTTCAACAAAAGAAGATATAAATCTTATTTACATGACTTTTTAACTTCCATGACTGTAATTTGTAACATGAAAATAATTTAGCATATATATATGTATAGCAGTAACTATTAAGTTAATAGCATAATCCTAGTGTCTTATTTGAAATTAGTGATACTGCTTTCCAGAACTTAAATTTATATTTTGTTACCAATGCTTTACATTAATCTTTTTTGTTGCTTCATCATTTTGAAAAGATTAAGCTGTCAAACTTCCATGACTGTAATTGGTAACATGAAAATAATTTAGCATATATATTTATATGTAAAGCAGTAACTATTAAGTCAGTAGCATAATCCTAGTGTCTTACTTGAAATTAGTGATACTGCTTTCCAGAACTTAAATTTATATTTTGTTACCAATGCTTTACATTAATCTTTTTTGTTGCTTCATCATTTTGAAAAGATTAAGCTGTCACCCAAAGATAAATGGAGTTAACAAAGTCCTGAATCTTTTTGGGTTTCAAACTGGAAAAAACCATCCTATATATAAATACCAGAGTTGCAGCTGCATTGCTTGTAAGCTTGTGTCTAGCTGTCTTGCAAAACAGACACCTGAGAATGGGAGCAGGAAAGTGCCTTTCCTATCTATAATACTATTGATAAGTACTTAAAAATTACCCAAGTTTTCTGTTCAGAAACTGTTGCCGTAAAATGGATTTTGTAGCAAAGGAGATTGAAGTTGTATGTCCAGAAAAACTTTTGGTAGAGCTAGCACTGGAATTGATCTCCCAGGGAGGTGGAATATCTGTCACTGTAGGTTTTGCAGAAGAGGAAAGACAAACATCTGTCTGGAATGTCTGAACGGTGGATTGATCCTGCCTTGAGGCAGAGGAATGGGATGGCAGATGAATTCTGAAGTTCCCTCTAGTAGTATTTTTGAGTGATTCTGGGAAATGCTGATACATACCTGAATTCTGTATTGTCAAATTAGCAAGGTAAAATATATTCTTCAAAATAAGATTTTATGTGTTCATTTTTAGAAAAATCTCTTCTCTTTAAAGCTGAACAACTATTTTTCTTTCTGTATTTTATTTGCTGATACTTCAGTATATTTTGAAAATCTGGTATTTTCTTTAAAACACTGAACTCTTGTTATTTGTAATGAGCTATTCTGAAAGTCAAAAATAATGCCTTGATTACTCCTCTAACAATAATAACATTATAGTTTAGGCTCAGATTGGACAAACTTCTTAAGGGCAGCAAATACTAGTTTTATACTGTTTTAAGAAAAATGTTCCTTGACATAAATTACGTTTTCATATGTCACCCATGAAGATATCTGCAACTGCTTCAATGGTAAGTTGCTGCTAGGCTGTATTTCTAAAGTGAGTGATTTCTTGAAAAATAACTTGCTAACTTTTTTCCTGCATGTATTTTGAATTGAGAAGTACTCAATAGTGATCATTACTCGGTAGAGGTCTCATAATGTTCATGGCTACCAAGTTCTGGCATTTTCTAGTTGTAGTCATAGATTGTATAGAATGGAAGCTCAGCCGGAGTCCTGGTTTTTGGTGTCTTTTTTGGTGTTCACACTTTTCAGCAGCTTGCCATGGGCCATTAATGGAACCAGAGACAGGATTTGTTGGTCCAACCCTCCAGAAAAACCACAAAGATCTAAATTTTGCATAATTTTCTGGTGGCAGCTGTGGCCAGACAGAACTTGTGATGCTGTATAAATGGAGCCAGCAGAAGGTCAATGATGGGGCATTGCTACTAAATCTGAAGGATTCCTGTACAGGTGGTTTGAAGAAATTGCTGGGAAGTGCTGGTAGAGGTTACTTCCCTTGATATCATCTCCTGATCCTAGGGCATCCAGGGGAAGATTGTTGTTCAGCCTCCAGCTAGGCTCAAAACTATCTTTTCTTTGCCACAAGAAAGACTTTTTTAATAAAAACACAAGATAGAAAACTACTGCAGAATTAAAACAAAAATGGGCTTTTACTGAAAAGAGGTTAGTCATTACAAAACATGGAGGCAGCTGGCACGATGCTCACATAGTACTTCACCTAAGTGTTTCTTAGGAGGCAGAGAAAGAAAAGTGTTACTCCAAATTAGTTATGAACAAAGAGGAAATCATGTGGAGGTGAGCAAGTAACCTGCAGTGTTGTGCCAGTGCTGTGCATGTAAATGTGGTCCCCATTTTAATGTGCATAGTAAGCCACAGATGAGTGTGACAGACAGCTGTTACATCCCAGTTGTACGTGCTGTGGAAGCCATGAGTTTAGATACTTGGAAGTACTGGCACTGAAGATTAATATTAACGCCTCTTCTTCCTTCTGTTAAATCTGTAGTACCACCAGTCATCAAAGTCATAAAGTGAGCTAGACCAGAGAGCTGGTTTAGCTGAAGTCATATGAGAAGTAGCTGAGAGAGCTGGGGTTGTTTAGCCTGGAGAAAAGGAAGTTCCAGGGAGAATTTACCACTGTATATAAGTACCTGAAAGGAGGCTGTAGCCAGGTGGGGGTCAATCTCTTCTAGGCAACCAGTGACAGGACAAGAGGACATGGCCTCAGGCTGCACCAGAGAGGTTCAGGCTGGACATCAGGAAAACTTTCTTCAGGAAAGGCTGATTACGCATTGAATCAGGCTACCAAGGAAGGTGGTGGAGTCACTATCCATGGAGGTATTCAAGGAACAACTGGACATGACACTTAGTGCTGTGGTCTAGTTGACAAGGTGGTGATCAGTCAAAGGTTGGACTCAATGATCTTGGAGATCTTTTCCAACCTAAATGATTCTTTGATTCTGTGAAAAAAGGAACTAGTTAAATATTTTCACCTTATGTTACATATATAACTAGAAGACAAATGGGCAAAGAACATGGTAAATCTTCTACTCATTCTTGTGAGAAAAGGTTTTTGCAACTGTGATCTTAGTATTGGAATTCTGTGATTTATACTATGCAATATACTTGGATCTTAGAGGGATTGCACATCCTACCACAAGTTTATACATGCTAAATTATGCAGTACTTTAAGTGACCTTAGAGAATTTCCAGATCTCATTTGAGTGGATACTATGCAAGACTTAAGAAAAATACACTTAACACTTTCTTAAAAATTGCTGTTTAACCAGGAGATACACTTCTAGCAATTCAAGCACCTTGTGGTACACAATTAGAAGTACCTAGACCTGAAAAGGTATGTACTGGTTTCTTGTTTACCTATGTATTCTAGAGCAATAGTGGCAAAGAAAAGCTGTTTCAGGCAGAGGATTTATCTCTACCATGTGCAAGAGGAGGGGAGAAAGGATTGTTTCAGTTGAAAAGAGGGAAGCCAGACAGAAAAAAAGTGGGTTTTGTATACTTAGATAGACTAATGGTAACCCTGCCTTCTATTAAAACCAAAATACACAAGTGGGTTTCTTCTCTCTTGCTTTTAAAATGTTGCAGCTTTCAAAATAATGCAGAGTTGTTATGAATTCTCTTCAGATCTCAGTGACTTTTATGTGTCAAGTTTCTCTGTTACATTGTTAAAATGGATCTCTTATGAAAAAGCCTTTTAGATTTAGTTTTAATGTAATTTAGATTTAGTCTCATGGTATTACACTGTATAGAGAAACAGACTGCAATCTCACTTTAGCCAAAAGGATTGAATTGACAAGATTTGAAGTAGGAGGCCAAATTATTTACTTCTGTCCATCTTTAACTTTTATTGTTGTTGTTGAAGTGCTTGATTTTAAATAGTGTTTACATAGTTGGGAGAGGGAAATGACGCATGATAGCCACTGTGCTTATAGAAGGCTGAAGTTCACCTGAGAAGTTTCACAAGCTATTTTTAGTGAGGCTAAGCACAGCCTAATATCGGTAAAAGCATTCAAGGCTAGAGCCATGAAGCTGATCAGTGGTGCTATCTTTGCCCATCTCTGCTGAACGCAGTTCAGGCAATGGTAAGGACCCTGCAGGACCTAAGTCAGAAGCTTGTGATGTTGGATTTTGTTTTTTGTTTTGGTTTTTTTTTGTTTGTTTTGTTTTAGTTTTTGGGGGTTTTTTTGGGTTTTTTTTGTTGAGGACTAAAACAGCTGATCTTAGTCTTCATCACTTTGTAGAGTTCCAAGTTCTCAAGGAACAGTAACTTTCATAATACACCATCTTTACAGGGACAGAATGGACAGAAGAAATACCAGATCAATCTTAAAAGTAGTTCAGGACCTATCCATGTGCTGCTGATAAACAAGGAATCAAGCTCCTCCAAGCCCACAGTGTTTCCAGTTCCTCCACCTGATGACCTTGCACAGCCCCCATCTCAGCCTGCAGCTCCAGCAACTCCACTTAAACCATCTGCAGCTCCTCCAGATCCCCCAGAACAACGTGACCCGAATCAAGGGCAGGAGTTACCACCAACAGCAGCTGTGGACACACCATCAGGTGGATCCCGGGGTTTTCCTACCTCTGGTGGGTGGGGGAGGAAGGCAGCTGGAGGGAAAGAAGAAACTGTTAAGAAAGGTGGTAGACAAAGGAAAGATCCAAGAATTTGCATAGGATAGCAGCTGTCCATTAAAAAACTACTCCAGGGACTTGTAACAGCTCTCAGGAGGTTAGACACCTCTGCCTCTTCTGTCTGGTAAAACAGATGCTTCCCTCACATCTTACCATCTTACACTGAACAGGTTTTGGATGTAATCCTGTTAATTATTCTGAGGTGCTTCTCCAGAATGCATTATGGAGCAAAATTGCAAACCTCTTGACGGAAGAGGATATGATTTGAATGCGTACCTTTTAATGAGATTGATAATACAGGCGCCAGTTCCAGCTATTGTACCACAAGGTCGCTTACCTTCTTCCACATAGCCACAGTAAGAGGCTGCCTGAATATAAGGTACTTTTTTCATAGTAATAGTAAATTAATAGGTAATAGGAAAAGATTTATGAAAATGCTGTATTACAACTGTATTCCTGAGGGGTCCTGATTACCTTCATTGACCTGTAACTGATCTTTAATTAACTGACAATTAATTAAATTGTAACTGTGGAAGGGGAAGACTCCCCTCACCTGATCCCAGACATTGGCCATGTTCTCCTCAAAAGACAAAGCTGGGGGCACGTGTTGTGTGTTGTTTCACCATAACAGACTTGTAACGTGCCTTCCTGTCCATGTAGATGGCAGTGCCCAGCAGGACAGCACAGCCACCACAGCCCCTTACTCCAGCCTTCCAGAGCCAGAGCTCTATCCCAGCCTGTCTGGAGACAGTGTCCAAGCCTCAGCCAGCTCCAGTGACTACCAGAGCCTGCTGCCTCTGGATGTCAACTGCATTCTCAAGCCAAACTCATTTGACATTGCAAAGATGGAGGAGCCTGCAGGTAGGAAGCAGTAGTTGCTGTTTAAATATTTTACTGGTTCCATGAGCCCTTCATTGTTACCAAATTACCAATGAGTTACACGGAGGGAAAAAAAGAGGTCTCTGTTTATCTTCTAATTAAGCCACTGAGGAGCTTACTAATCTTCAGTAAATGAGTTTCTTTGCCACCAAATAAGCCTCATAGTGTATATAGCTCTTGGATTTTAAGAGATAAGTGGGAAAAATATACTGGGGGGAAAAACTGAGGGATACAAAGATAAGTATATTTTACATGTATATGTCATACTATCTCTGCAGCTCCTACACTGCACAAGCCATAGTGTACTTGTCAATTCAGTGTTTTAATGCAAAGAATGTGTTGGCTGCTATAAACACATTAAAAAAACCCCACAAACATAAAGCATGTACTCTTGTCTTTCACAGGAAATATCAGTGGAGATATTATTGATGAACTCATGTCTTCTGATGGTAAGTATTTAGCATCTTTTCTAATAATCACAAGTAGCAGCATGGTTTTTGTGTGAACAGCACTTAGAAGGCATCTGTTAAATCTGATGCCAAGAGTCAGTATGAAACTACTTCTTCCTGTGTTGCCTCTGTCACTCTTGTCTTTGCTCCCCTTTCTATTCCCTGCAACAGTTTTATTTAACAGTCAAAATAGGAAAACCTTAATCCAACAAGCACTTACCTGCATGAATAACCCACCAATACTTAATTTAGGGAAAGAGCAAGCTGATGACTAGTGTGCTGTCTCAAAATATAAATCTGGTTGAATTCTATTCTGCCTAAAGCTTTGTGCAGGTGCTTTGAATAAGTATTTCAGAATATGGTTCTGGATGCAGACTGTTATGTGTCCACCTGTGGTACACTAACAGAACAAGTGTCACCCATTTGTGTTCTTGCACGTCTTTGGTCATATGAGTGCAGTGCTGAATCACAGCTACTACAGAATTCATGTGCTCCCTACCTCTCTGCCACTCTCACTGAGGTGCCAGGCAAGGAGGTCAACTCACTGTGGTGGTCAACTCACTTTGTACCTTTTGCCCTGTATTCTGTAAGATCTGTAATATCTGCCCCTCAAGCAGACCACATCAGGGCTCATCCAGAAAGAGATATGATTGTAAGATCCAAGGGGCAAGGTGGGATTCTGTGAATGTGCCAATATGTGGTTAACATGGAAACAGCCTCTGCTTCTAGAGCAGGGATACAGATAAAGAAATATAAATTATGCCTTTCTGGTTAAAGTTTTCGAAAGCTGCACAGGAACTCCACTGCTGCTGAAGAAATTAAACCCATATTCCAGCAAACTGACTTAAAATACCAAGCAAAAAACGGCAGATACTTACTGCCTTAGTTTGAATGCAGTACAGGTTTTCATGGTATTTATCTCAGTGAGCTTGTCAGATTATCAAGACTATTTTAATTATTAAGACTAACCCTTATGACAAACATACTGAAATATGATAGGGCTGATTTTCCAAGTGTTTTAATTTAAACTAAACTGTTCCTGCTTTACAGTTTTTCCTCTCTTACGACTCTCTCCTACTCCCGGAGATGACTACAACTTTAACCTGGATGATAATGAAGGAGTCTGTGATCTCTTTGATGTGCAGATACTAAATTATTAGATATTATGTCAACCAGACTACTTATCTACCTCTAACTGTAACAATCTAGACTTCTTCATAACCTAAGTATTTGAATAATGAATGTATAACTTCTTAGTTCACTGACTCTGGGAGTATATTTCCTTTTGCTTCCTTTAACTACTTCACAAAACAAATTCAAGAACACGAAAAAAGGGCTCTTATCAAAAATTCTGGCACTTTTTCACCTGAGTGTTTTTCTGTCTAAGCCAATTGTTCGGAGCTTTCTTTAGTAAGAAAAGTGAAAATACTTTATAGCCTTTTGGTCATTTTAAAAAAAATTATTAGTCTTCTTGCTCACAGTTAACAGCATTTTCTTTGAAGCTTTACTGCCAAGAAGCTTTGTTTTTTAACTTTCCAAACAATTTTGAAGCTTTCACTGCCAAGTTGAAAAATGAATGGTATCAACTTGAGTTATGCTAAACTGTTTCAGTGAACCAATTTTGTGAAGTGCCTTCTGTTTTAGCACTTTAAGTTTCTCACACTGACTTCTGACATTCCACTTTCCTAGATGATAGGAAAGGTCTGTTTGTAGTTTGTATTGAAGTGTGCCAATACTTGTATATTAACAAGATTTTTTAATAAAATTGTGCAAACAAAGCCATCAGTATTTGTGGTCTTTCATTTCTTGCAACCCCTTCATTGTCCATTTTGCATTACAACTGAGATAACAGGCTTGTGGCAGCATCCACGTTTGCTGGTTCCTCTTCCAGATTTGTGGAAACCTGGGGAAAAAAAAAGAGTTTCAGTTTAAAGCAGAAAACAATTTCTTTTTATTCTGCTTAGGAAAAAAACCCCAGACTAATAAATATCCATTGGCCAGAAGATTAATTTGACTTTTATATATTTTTAAATAAATTTTTTTATTATATTTTTAGATAATTTTGGCTAATTTTGCAGCTATATTTTAATAATTTGGAGGGATTGCAGGATACAGTGAAGTTGAGACATAAGAAGAAAATGCTTTGTGCTTTGGGAGCGTCATACCAGTAACATAAAACACATGGCCCAACTGAGACAGGCTCAGCATTTATTTCACAACTGTTCTTAACAACACTTCTGCAATTTTGGGAAAATGCTATTACAGCTGAGTGATGTAGAGCCCTACTAGCACAGGAGCAGTAGTACAGTCTGAATTCTTGGAGGAATAAATAACAAGCCAGCAGGGACAGGACCACTCGTTCCAGCTGCCTTGGAATCCTGGCTTGGCTTCATCCTGTGCTGGCAGCACTGTCGCTTATGTTTCATTTTTCCCTCAGCCTCTCCTTAAGGTATTTGACACTTGTTTAGTTGCTCCCAGCTGTACAGAAACTTGATCACCTCAGGCACACTGACAACTCATGTCCACTTCTCCAAACTCCACCTTCCCCCAAGAGCAGGATGGATTCAACTGCATCTCATCCTGAAGGATTGCTTTCTCTCCCTGAAACTGTGCTTAGAGCAAGAGTCAGCAGAAAGAGTTTACATGGAGGAACTTGTCAGGAATTAAACTTTTATGAATTAATTCTTGTGCAAGACTGCAAGTAGGCCTGTATAAAAAAAAAAATAACCAAACTAGCCAAAGGCAAGAGAAATACTGTCTTGAACCCCAAGTGCTGCAGGCAAAACCTCTACTACAGAAATTCAGGTGTTGGTCCTTCTGATGAGGTGATACAAAGGCTTAGGAATCAGGAACAAAGAGAGGCAGAACTGTTTGTTTCAAAGCACTGTCAGGAGCTTCAGGTAGGGAACAGCTAGGTTCATCCTCTCTGTGTCTATTAATGTAGAGATACAAGTTTCAAATCAAAGGGATGGAGCTGGAACTAACTTAAAAAAAACAATTAGAAATCAGCTAGAACGTAGTTTAAAAATATGCTTTGAAGCATGCTTCAGCATGGCTGCCACCCTCTTATCTCTCTACTTAGTATTTATATAGAATTTGAACATGCTAACTAGGTTTCAGCATTGCCACACAAATTAAATTCATAAAATTGGGATTCTAGCTTTAAAGCAACTGCATGAATTCACAGTCACAGAATATTCTGAGGTAGAAGGGACCCACAAGGATCATCAAGTCCAACTCTAAAGTAAATGGCCATCAAAAGGGTTGAACTCAGCACCTCGGTATTACCAGCACCACACTCTGACCAACTGAGCTAATTGCCTGCAGTCTAAGAGACACATTATAATGCTTTAAACACACATTCTTTTCATTCTCCTCAGATTTTTACAAAGGGAAATTACCTGCTGAGTGTTCTGAGGTTCTGATGTGGTTCCTTTTGACAGCTGCCGGATTTCTTTCTGAACTTCAGCAAATGCTTTATTTATTGTGCTAACTTTTTCAGCATTTTTAATGTTTATCTGGGAGAGAAAAAATACACACATTGGTATTTTTAATAAAAATTCCACTGATATGAAACTGCCCCATTTTTGTTCAATTATTATGCAGCCAGTGTTCCATGCTTTTCAGTATGTTTTACCTGTTACTTCATTAAGTCATCTACTTCTGTACTAAAAAATTCAAAATTAAAGAGTTAAACTTGCTCTACTGGAATGGGAGCCCATCGTGATCCAGGAAGAGAACACAGAGAAAACAAAAATCAGGCTTCACAGGCCCTGCTACACCACCCTCAGCTCCTCTTAGCTGGAATGAAGTCCCAGGAAGGGTTCCTTCCATCATCTCTGGTGGACTGACCCTGGCTGGATGCCAGGGGCCCACCAAAGCTGCTCCATTGCTGCCTTTTTCAGCTGGACAGGGGACAGGAAATACAAAGAAAGGCTCATGGGTAGAGATAAAAGCACAGAGAGATCACTCACCAGCTGCCATCATGGGCAGAATAGACTCAACTCAACTTGGGGAAAATGAATTTCATTTGTTGTCAAACAAATGCTGCAGAGGAATCTCAGCTCAGACACCTGGAACACCTCTTCCCCCTCCTTCTTCACCGACCTTGGTGTTTGCAGGGCTGCTTCTTATTAAAAACCCTCACTCCTCTGTTCGTGCTGCTGCTGGTGGTATGCTTCTTAACTACATCAACCCAGAGGCACTGCCAGTACCTGATGGGCTCTGCCTTGGCCAGCAGCATATCCATCCTGAAGCCAGCTGGCATTGGCCCTTTCAGACATAAGGGAAGCTTCTGGCAGCTTTTTAGAGAAGCCATGCCTGTAGACCCTCAAACCAAATACAATTTGTAAATTATTTTACTATGTTGAATTTCTTCCAGCAGCTTACCTTTCATCATCACACCTTGCATCCTAATTGTTCGTACTATAGGTCTGCCTATAGTAACGTAACGTCTACCAGGTTTTGCCACAGTATTTAAAGAAACTCTGCAGCTGTGGCAGAGTGGAATGTGTATCTCTGGGCACCTCAGCCTCTCTTTTAGCCCAAGTCTGCCTTTATAAGTTATTTTATCTAAAATTTTACTTTCAAAGAGGAAGTGCTAGAATATGGACACATGTTGCACTCTGGGGACAACTCTTTGTGGTAGAGGAGCAGGGTGGATGCAAGAGGGCATAAACTCTCACCACTGCAGCAAAGATTCAGCTGATCTGAGCCCTAGCACCTGCTGCTTCCAAAGTCTGGAACGGGATCATAGCCAGGTGATAACCTATTACATTGCAAACATTCCAGAAGCATGCTTGTTGGTCTTCAGGCAACCCCAAATTTCAGCATACCTACTGCTGTTTCAAAGGCTGCCCCTGTAGTTCATCTCTGAGCAATTTAAATAGGCAGAAGCAAACTGTGAATGGTTACACGTATTCATTTTACTTTCAAAGCCTCCATCATTTCAGAGCACGTATGCAGTAACAACAATTCCATTCTGACTGACCACAAAAACCAGTATTAAGAAAGCAGAGGCAATGAGGCCGATAGAACAGGCCTACTCAGATGAACATTTTAACTGGGACAGTGACTGGAGAAATACGGCGCCAGCTCCCAGCTCTGATCAGACTGGATGGACTGTTGGTAACATGATGTACAAAGACCATGTCTTCAGTCAGAGCCTGTCACCATCTTACAGCTTCACAGGGGTTTCAGAAGGTTCCCGTCAGTTTTAATAGTGATATCCTCAAATACTCAGGCAGGACTCGTCCACAGAAAGAGGCTCTATAGCTAGCATGGTACCTACATCAAAAGTTGTCTGAACAGTTACAATGGACTTTTAGCCATTAATGAGTAAATGTATTTTAGTGATTTTTTTTTTCTGAGCATCTTCTTATACTGCTTAATGATAAATAAATCACATTAAGCCCAAAGGCTTAATGCATTAAAGAACACAGCTTCAAACACAGAGAATAAAATTTTACTCCTAATAAGCTTTTCAAGACTATGAAACAGACATTTCATGAATATTTTAAACCTGTTTCTCCCTTTCTATTATACAGAACAGTCTAGACTAAGAGGAGATTCGATGCCAGCAATATGAAGTTGTTTCTTCTAAAGTTTGTTACGTTCCTGTCTGTCTGCCAGATTAATTTGTCAAGTGGAGCTTGCAGGAGAAAATCTGAAACAGCCTTTTTTTAAAGAGCCATTTACTTGTGTTTGTCCAGCAGACTGCAACTGCATCAAGTGTTTTTTATTACTTTAATTTACTTTTTATTACTTATTTACTTATTACTTTTTTACTTTTATTACCAGATGCTTTTCTAAAAGGACAGCTGAACTCTTGCAGAACACACGCCTCTCAGGCTGTAGGCAGGGTTTGAGAAGATGCTCACTGATCACAACAGGAAAACTCTTGCTTAGATCACCCCCATCCCTCTTCCCCTGCACTGCTCCCTGCTCCATGACCCACTCTCTCCCTCCTCTGGGCTGTGCTCTTCTACAGACATGAAAATAACAACAATATTTTTGTTTCTTTGTTTTTCTATTGCTTTAGTATGTTAAACTGGCTCGCAGAAGCATCTACAGAGCATCACAGCCCATGTAAGGGGCAAAAAAGGGGCACAGAAGAATTAAGAGCAAAACACCCAGCAGTGCACACTCCTAGCTCTGTTCACTGCATCTCACTGACAGTTTTACTTGACAGCTGAGGCAAATAAACAGCTACTGGATCAGAAAAGGCTCCATCCTTTCTAGTTCTTCCCCACCAAAAAGCTTCTCTCTGCATTCATTCATTCATAATTAAGTTTGTTCAATTCACCAACCCAGCACATAAAAATGCAAAATATATTTTTAATGGGTTTTGCTGCTGATTTAGCAAGTTGAGTCACCTAGTGGGCGTAGAATTCCTGAGCCAGCATCAAGGAGAGCTGTGGGAATATAGCCCAGAGTCTGGCAAGGCTCCCTTCCTGAGACCAGGAACATGATGGAAAGGAGCAGGACTTCCTCTTGTTAGTTGTCCTAACTATACCCAGTGGTTTGGACCAAGGCATTTTGTTAATCTGTACCCTGAATTACACGCTCAGCGACGCTGTGAATGCAGTCCAGTGAGCGCGAACTGAACTGCTGATGCGCCCTTTAGCATCGCATCCCGAGGACGAGGCGAGATACCATCAGGCACTTCCCAAACGACACCCCTCAAGCACAGCCGGATGCTTCCTGTGTGCATATGCCTGCAGATTAGTCAAATGAACTTCTTGTGCTCCTCCTTTTGCAGATGACACATACAGTTTTTCCACATACAAACCTAATTTTCGGGGGAAAACCGTGCACTTTGCCGTTTTGTGCCGGACGCACACTGCCCCTAACCCAGCTCGATTTAATCACCCCCGAGCGCTTGCTGCGCCGCGCAGCGAGGTCCAACAGGAGGAAACGCCGCCGGGCCGAGGCCTCCCGCGGGCGCTGCAGCAGCGCCGGGGCCCTCCCCGTGGTGGGGCGCTGCCGCAGCCCAGCCAGCGTCTCCTCCCGCCGCAGCACTCACCTGCTTCAGCCCGGAGGTGACGGGCCGCGCCTTGCCCTTGGCCTTGGCCCTGAGGACGCCGCTGCGGGCGATGCGGAACACGCTGCCGGCCTTGGCGGCCCCGCCGCGGCTCTTGCCCATGGCGGCGGCGGCGCGCGGATGGGTGACGTCACACGGGCTGTGACGCGAGGAGCCGCCAATGGCCCACAGCGCCGCGCGGGGCCGCCAGGGGGCGTGCGCCGCCTCGGCTGGGCGCTGTGGAGCCGCAGCGGGGAGCGGTGCTGGCGGTGTGGCGCTGCCCCGTCCCTGTCCCTGTCCCTGTCCGGTCCCGGGGTCAGCCTTGGCCCCGGCCCTGCTTGCCTCTCCTGCGCCTTCGCAGCCAGCTTTTTCAGCACGGGAAGGCTGAGAGCTCCTTGACGCGCGCCCGCAGCCCGAGCGCCGAGTCCAAAGCTGCGCGTTGCCACAAGCACCTGCCCACGGGCAGCCCCCGGCACACGCGGAGCTTGGATAAACTCCCAGTTGGTGGTGGGACACGCTTCTGCCTCACGGCCCCGCTTGGGGAAACGTGAAATCTTCCTGCGGGTTATTCCAAAGGGAATTGGGTTTACACCCCTGGGAGACAAACGGGAGGGGATGCAGCGGTGCGGACTTGGCTTTACTTTGGGAGTGGCGGGTGGACCCAGGAATGGGCACTGCCGCACAACTCCTGCTCTGGGGGACGGGGGCTGGTGGAGCCACCTTCCCTCTGTTGGAGCGGGCTCTTGAGGGATGGCACTGCATCCCCCGGGCCACCCCGACGGTGCTGGGGGGAGCCTGGGTGACCAAGCGCTTGGGGCAACAACAGGCACGGACGGGCCAGGAGGCCGGAGCGCTGCAGGTCTCCTTATCAGCGCCCCAGGATCGGGGCGTCGCCGCGCGTCGCCTTCAAATCGGGCGCAGCCGCCTCTCCCGCCCCAGCCCGTCCTATCCCATCCCAGCCCATCCTGTCCTGTCCCGTGCCGTCCCGTTCCGTCCTGTGCCGTGCCGTGCCGTGCCGTGCCGGCAGGAGAGCAGAGCCATGCTGCACTGGGGATACGACGAGCACAACGGTAGGGAACAGCGGCCGGGGCCGTCGGGGCGGCCAGCGGGGTCCCGCGGGCACTTCCCGCCCCTGGGCTCGGCAGCTCCCGCGCCCTCAGGAGAGCTGGGTGAGCTGAAATGCTCTGCAGCGTGAGAGCGAGCCGATTTTTGTCTCGGCATTCTGCAAGGCAGGTGGCTGAGAGGTGTCCGTGCGTGCGGCATCGCCTGCAGAGCCGCGCCGGGCTTGGCTCCGGGTCGGGTCTGCCGCGCTCCCGCTGGGATTTCGTTCTCTCCTTTAGCTGAACAGTTGCGTGCACAGATCGAGTACGTGGCTGACAGCTGCACTGATCGGAACTGCTGTACCAGCAGTGCTTCTCTGGTTCCAGCTCTGCTCTGCTTCTACACGGTGGGAAATCCTAGTTACTTGACTGGGTTATTTAAATGCATAACTATGCACCTAAGAGGTGATGCTTTTGGATTTTAGTTGTTCAGTGGTTTCCTTCATCTTGTCAGTCTTTGAAGTCCCAAGATGGGCTCATCAGCAGGCTTAAAGACTTGGCTCTGTTTTGCATCTTCAGTCATGCAAACGCTGCTCCAGTGTGCAGACAGTCTCACAAGTTATGCAAGTAGAAATAAAAATGTTTTTGTAAATTGTAGGCTCAACTCTGATGTAATATCTTATATTGTCTGTACACAAAGAAACGAAATGCTGTGACAGTAAAAGGAGACAGCTATATATTTGCATATACTAATGCCTATAAGAATATGCTTTGTGTATATTATTACTTAGACTTTGGAATACTGTTTGTGCAAGTACTACCTTTCCTTCCTGGCCCTGTTGTTCCATCTTTTCTGGATGGATGTACTTTTCCTGAAAAACTGGGTGGTGGTGGTGGATCACAGGAATGTTGCAATGATTGGGTGTGTTATCTGCTGTTGTGCAGTCTGCCCTACCCCTCCCCTGAAGACGTAAATGGGTCTTGTTTTTCAAATTTTTTTCTCCATACGTTTCTATGTTTTGAGCTTCACCTGCACTGCCCAGATAAGAAGCCCACTTTCTTTTCCTTATCCTATCTCTTCTTGTTTGCTATTCTCAACTTATAGAGAGGGGAGGCCACCAGAATGTCTACTGGGGTGGCCCTGGACCTTGCTTGAGGCCCTGTCTCTCCTATAAAACTCTATTTACTGCCTGCCTGGTAACATATTTGAGGTGGAGTCTGCCTTTCACTTCTTTCTTGGAGCCCCACAGCAGCTGTGGGATGGATAGTTTCTCATCAGTCCATCCCCTTCACTGCACCTTTCACAGGAGGTGAGAGGAGGGAGGCGTGGATATCAAACACTTCAGTGCTCTTCCCTAGCATCAGTTTTATTTCTCATCTTTTTCTCTTATACTGCATTTATTTTACTGATTCTGCTTGTTATTATTGTTTAATTGAGTAGCAAATGAAGGAAATTGCTCTGATTGTTGAAAATTTTTGTTTACCTTCATGGGCTTGAAAACAGTTTTTCTGAAACTAAGATTACCTTTTGCAATTCAGACAGAAATAAATTGAATTAATTAAATGTGATGCAGGTATATAGTATGGTTGACTGCCAAAGAGTTGAAAAAAACATCTGTGTTCACTCTGAGTTCTGCAATTGCTACTTGAAATAGTCACAACATAAATCATTATGTGCTTAAACTGGCCAATATTAAAACATACATGTGTGGAATATCTGTGTTTAAGGACATGGCTCACTGATAGGTAAAGAATTAAAAGATTTGGGGATTGACCCCAGCTGGACACCAGGTGCCCACTGTATCACTCCCCTCCTCAGCTGGATAGGGGAGAAAAAAATAGACTGAAAGGCTCAGGGGTTAAGATAAGGACAGAGGGAGATCACTCTCCAGTTGTTTTCCTAGGCAAAACAGACTTGCCTTGGGGAAATTAGTTTTATTTGTTGCTTATCAAATCAGAGTAAGGTAATGAGAAAATAAAATCTTTAAATCACCTTCCCTCCAACCCTCCCTTTATCCCAGGCCCACCTTCACTCCTGATTTTCTCTATGTCCTCTCCTGCACCAGCTGTGGTCAGTTCATCACATGTTGACTCTGCTTCTCCCTTCTCTTCAGTGGCAGGACAACTCACACTCTGCCCCTGCTCCAGCATGGGGTCCCTCCCATGGAAACAGCCTTCCATGAATTTTTCCAATGTGAGGGCTTCCCACAGGCTGTAGTTTTTCACAGACTGCTCCAGCATGGATTCCCCAAGGGACCCAAAGTCCTGCCAACAAACCTGCTCCAGCTTGGGCTTCCTATGGGGTCCTGCCAGGAGCCTGTTCCAGTGTAGGCTGTCCATGAAGTCATAACTTCCTTCAAGACACATCCACCTTCTCCAGTTGGGACCCTCCATGCACTGCAGGTGGATCTCTCCTTCACTGTGGGCCTCCATACAGGGCACAGCTGCCTCACCATGGTCTTCACTATGGTGCGGGGAATCTCTGCTCAGGGTCTGGGACCATGTCCTCCCCTTCCTCTTGGTGTCTGCAGAGCTGTTTCTTTCCCATATTCTTACTTCTCTCTTTCAGTTGCTGTTGCACAGTAAATTTTTCCCCTTCTTAAATCTGTTACCCAGAGGTGCTAGCACTGTCCCTGATGAGCCCAGCCTTGTCCAGCAGTGGGTCCATCCTGGAGCCAGCTGGCACTGGCTCTACTGGACAGGGGGAAAGCTTCAGCAGCTTCTCACAGAAGCCACACCTGCAGCCTCCCAGCTACCAGTGTCTTGTCACATACACCTGATGCAGAAGTTCTCAGTTACTTTGGTGCACCTATTTCTGAAATGAATGAAGGCATTATTTTATTTCTGTGAAAATCTTGGCCTTTGCACACCTAATGCAGAAGTTCTCGGTTACTTTGGTGCACCTATTTATTTCTGAAATGAATGAAGGCATTATTTTATTTCTGTGAAAATCTTGGCCTTTGCTTTCTTGCCACTTTTCTTACCTCACAGTTCTGATGTTGCTTATCTGTAGAGACATAATACTGAAATCTTGAAGACTGGCTTCAGTGTGGCGTCATGCATGCTTTTCACTGTTGCTCAAGGTTCCTGTCAGGATGGGAAAGTTCTTGCCCCTTGAGTCCTTTTTCTTTTACAGGGAATTGCTTTCATTAAAAGGAAAATCAAAGAATGAGTAAGGTTGGAAGGGACCACAGCGGGAAATCAATTTACTTTAGTTTACTATATGTTTAATTAAATATATGGGAATTATTGTTTGTTACAGCAAAAATTTCTCTTGATCTAGTTACTACAGTAATGCTGAGGCATTTTGTAAATAAAAGGAATATTAATTCATAGAATCATTTAGATTGCAAAAGACCTTTAAGATACTTTAGTTGAGCCATAACTCCTAATACATTTTTTCTTTCTGAGAATAATTACATCATTTCAATATCTGCTTTTAAAAAGGTGCTTAACTTTACCCATAAATTTTTAATTGATTTTGTTTGAGCTCATCTTACTGCAACCTAATATGCAATCAAATTACTTGCAAGCCTGAGTTTATAAATTTAAGCACTCTGTGATTGATAAACTGGGCAATGGATTATCTTTAGAAATAAATGAGGATGTGATCCTGTCAAGGTCATTCAAATAATGAATTTTCTGTATATAATAACAAACTATGAAAAAACCCCAAACCCTAACACCTTTTCACCTGTACGTGCTCCGTTTATGCACATATAGAGGCTCACTGGAATTCAACAGTATCCTCTAGTGTCTTCACTGGGCTTATCTCAAGTTGTTCTGTTGATGAAATTTGTAATCTTTAGCTTCATCTGGATCAAAATGCAACACTGAGAGGTGCTATAGTGAGTTCTCTTTCCTGCCAAATTCCTAACTGCCTTCACTGTGAGACCTGTTTCATTAACTGGCTGTGTGCAGTGCTGGTGAGTGGTACGTGCAGTGATTGTCTGACCTAAAAGTGTCAGACAATTCATTGCCTGTGGTAATGCTGTGTCCAAAATAAAGGCAAGAAATCTTCAGAGCAGATGGTTCAGTTTTTTGTCATAAATCTCAGTCACAATAGCTTTGATTGTTAAGAACTACTAGAAAATTGCCTCTAGCAAGAGAACATTTTCCCAACAGCAGAAGAGGCTTTTATAAGTTCAAAGATGGGTATATTAATCACTTTCATTCAGTAAAGGAAAAAAATGAAAGGAGGTGAATTAATGAGTTCTACTCCCTGGATGTGTCTGAAAGTGCATATTTAGAAAACTAAAGTGTACATTATTTTAATATGGAGACATCTAATTCAGAAGAAATTTTCAATTTCTTCTGAGGACACAGCTGGCTTAAATCTGATTATATGACATGCATTTGAGTATCTCTTTCAACAGTAATGACTTTTTTTTACAACAGTCATACACAAAGTGTGCATTGGGCTGTGGTCTGTAGAAATTGAGTCAGTTTTCCTAGAGTGACAAAAGCATGATAATTGTACTAGATTGTGGGTAGATTGCCTAGTAAGGAATATCTGTTGATATAACCTACTTGTATAAAATGAGTTGAAGTTTCTTGATACTTTCCTGTATACTTTGAAAGGTCAGATGTCTGGTAGTTTGGTTATTTGTAGATGTTTAATCACCATAGCAAACCAGTATTTTGGTCATCTGAGCCAAGAACAAGTGCCAAACCAGCAATAATGTCATTTTAGAACTGACTATTACTGTTAAATAATTAAGTAGTGACAGAATCACAGCCTTGGGTCCTCTTTTTGACAACTTTGTATTATTTCTTAATGCAAGTCATCCATATTATTTAATTCAAATAACTATAGTTATTTCTGTAACAGAGCAATAGGAGACCAAGTAGTTAAGCACATAAATATATTTTTGGCTGTTCTCAGTTAAGGACTATTAGAATTATTAAAATTAAATAGCAATAAACTTTTTCTAGGAGTTCCAAATCCTGGTAGATGTTTAAGACCATAACAAACCAGTATTTTGGTCATCTGAGCCAAGAACAAGTGCCAAACCAGCAATAATGTCATTTTAGAACTGAATATTACTGTTCAATAATTAGGTAATGACAGAATCACAGCCTTGAGTCCTCTTTTTGACAACTTTGTATTATTTCTTAATGCAAGTCATCCATATTATTTAATTCAAATAACTATAGTTATTTCTGTGACAGAGCAATACGAGACCAAGTAGTTAACACATAAATATATTTTTGGCTGTTCTCAGTTAAGGACTATTAGAATTATTAAAATTAAGTAGCAATAAACTTCTTCTAGGAGTTCCGAATCACAGTAGTGAGGTATAAATTATGAAGTGGGGCTTCTTATAAATAAAATTTTGTGTTGCATCCCTAACTATAGGGTATTGGGATCTAAACACAATTAAAATTATAGTCTAAACTGTATGTAGTTAGAATATTGAATAGCTTTGATTACCATTCATGAGAGGAATTATGTTTAAACAGTTTTATGTTTCAAACCAGTAGGACTTTTATCTTCTGCCTTAGAATCTATTTTTTTTGAGTTTAGTTAATGAAGTAACTAACGAAAGTACTTTTTTAAAAATTGAGACTGAAGGCTGTAATCTTTGTTCTGAGGCTTAAGTCTTAGGCTATTCTTGACAAGTTTTTCCCACTTCTGTTTTTCTGTGCTTCTCACAGGAGAATTATTCTCTGCCCAGGTGCTGTGCAAGCTGCAGCCCCCAGCCCCATGGGCGCTTCCTCCCTGATTTACTGCCGGGGTGCACGGGTGCTTTTAGCACCTGTGAGTTTCTGAGCTGTGTTCACTTCAATAGAAGTTGAGGAAAGAAAAATATCTAACAGCTTTTGATGTTAGGCTAACCACTGGATCATGCGTTTTCATCCTTTTTTGTCATAATTTTTAGTTAAGTGCTAAGCCATCCAGAAAGACCCAAACCCAGTTTTTGCACTGACGTCAGTTATCTTCAGTGTAAGGAGGTAGTTATGAGGATTTCCAGTGATGCAGATTTTATTTGACCAGATTCTGGTGCTCATATTAAGTATTTCTTATATCCAGTCTCTCAATTGATTTATTATGCTTTTTACCCATTATAAGCCTGGAGGAGAAACAAGTTCTGTGCTTTTCTACATACTGAAAGATTGTTTGCCCTGCAGACTTTCACCTTTCTCTTTTTCCTTTCTACTTTCCCCTTATGACTTTTTTTTACAACAGTCATACACAAAGTGTGCATTGGGCTGTGGTCTGTAGAAATTGAGTCAGTTTTCCTAGAGTGACAAAAGCATGATAATTGTACTAGATTGTGGGTAGATTGCCTAGTAAGGAATATCTGTTGATATAACCTACTTGTATAAAATGAGTTGAAGTTTCTTGATACTTTCCTGTATACTTTGAAAGGTCAGATGTCTGGTAGTTTGGTTACTGGTAGATGTTTAAGACCATAACAAACCAGTATTTTGGTCATCTGAGCCAAGAACAAGTGCCAAACCAGCAATAATGTCATTTTAGAACTGAATATTACTGTTCAATAATTAGGTAATGACAGAATCACAGCCTTGAGTCCTCTTTTTGACAACTTTGTATTATTTCTTAATGCAAGTCATCCATATTATTTAATTCAAATAACTATAGTTATTTCTGTGACAGAGCAATACGAGACCAAGTAGTTAACACATAAATATATTTTTGGCTGTTCTCAGTTAAGGACTATTAGAATTATTAAAATTAAGTAGCAATAAACTTCTTCTAGGAGTTCCGAATCACAGTAGTGAGGTATAAATTATGAAGTGGGGCTTCTTATAAATAAAATTTTGTGTTGCATCCCTAACTATAGGGTATTGGGATCTAAACACAATTAAAATTATAGTCTAAACTGTATGTAGTTAGAATATTGAATAGCTTTGATTACCATTCATGAGAGGAATTATGTTTAAACAGTTTTATGTTTCAAACCAGTAGGACTTTTATCTTCTGCCTTAGAATCTATTTTTTTTGAGTTTAGTTAATGAAGTAACTAACGAAAGTACTTTTTTAAAAATTGAGACTGAAGGCTGTCATCTTTGTTCTGAGGCTTAAGTCTTAGGCTATTCTTGACAAGTTTTTCCCACTTCTGTTTTTCTGTGCTTCTCACAGGAGAATTATTCTCTGCCCAGGTGCTGTGCAAGCTGCAGCCCCCAGCCCCATGGGCGCTTCCTCCCTGATTTACTGCCGGGGTGCACGGGTGCTTTTAGCACCTGTGAGTTTCTGAGCTGTGTTCACTTCAATAGAAGTTGAGGAAAGAAAAATATCTAACAGCTTTTGATGTTAGGCTAACCACTGGATCATACGTTTTCATCCTTTTTTGTCATAATTTTTATTTAAGTGCTAAGCCATCCAGAAAGACCCAAACCCAGTTTTTTTTTTGCACTGAGGTCAGTTATCTTCAGTGTAAGGAGTTAGTTATGAGTATTTCCAGTGATGCAGATTTTATTTGACCAGATTCTGATGCTCATATTAAGTATTTCTTATATCCAGTCTCTCAATTGATTTATTATGCTTTTTACCCATTATAAGCCTGGAGGAGAAACAAGTTCTGTGCTATTCTACATACTGAAAGATTGTTTGCCCTGCAGACTTTCACCTTTCTCTTTTTCCTTTCTACTTTCCCCTTTCTCTCTCCTCCTTTCCATCCTAAGGAATGTTTTCTGTCTTTGTAGAATATATTCCCCAGGCAACTTACTGTTCCTATTTTTCTTTACCCTCTTATGCAAATATGGTTAAACAATGGCACGTATACTCTTACTGTGAATTATTGGGAACTCTGATGCTTAGTAATTAACAACAGATAACTCACACATCAGTGAAGCTTTTCTTACTTTTTCAGGATGTTACTTGCTATTTTCTCATATCCATATTATTGATTTATTAGCTTTTCAGGTGACATTTGGCTTAGCTTGCTTGGACAGAGGAAGGATGAGATGACTAGTATTGATTAACAGCTTCTTTAGTCCTATAATTTATACCTAAGTCGGGTCAATGGCACTGCATCTGTGTCTGGACAATCTACTCTCATCAGCTGAAGGCATTGGAAATACAAACCTCACACAGGCACCACTGTCCTGATTGTTCTTGTTTTTTGATTTTGTCAGTGCTACACTAGTGTGTGTGTATGTGTGCCTGTGTGCATGGACACTTCATGATTAAAGGGTGACAGTCATTCTTCTTTGTGACAGCTGGTGTGCACAGTTGGTGCCTGGGAGGAGGTGAGCAGAGGTGCAGCAGGGTTTAGGTTCCAGCCACTGCCATCAGGCTCCACTCAGCATTTTCTGACATCACCAGTCACCTTTTTTGACATCTCCCCATCTCATTCACAGTGATCAGTGGAATATGTGTTCTCACATCACTTTTGAATAAGACATAAATAATTCTTAATACAGGGATTTGCATAGAAAAGAGGTAATCCTTCAAGACACAATGAGACATGATATTAGGCAAAAATGGCATGTCAAAAATTTATTGGGACATAGTGCCTGTTGGATACAGGATGCCTGATTTGAATGATCATTTGTTTTATCTGTCTTGTTCATAGCTTAGTCTTACTGGGTATATGAAGGGGTCCAGAGAACTGTTATTGCAATATGATGCAGCAAAAGTAGCTGAATATTTTGATCTGTGTTTTCCTGATGCATCCTTTTTGAATGTAAAAGATGCAGATGAGGACAATTCAAGTAGAGTTTTATTTCATAAGAATGAGGGTGCTGTCAGCAATTTAGACTTCTCCTCCAATGCATTGCAGGGCCTGCCCACTGGAAGGAGGTTTTTCCTGTCGCTAATGGAGACCGTCAGTCACCCATCGACATCAAAACTGAGGAAACCAAGTATGATCCCTCCCTCCGTCCTCTAAATCCCAGTTATGATCCAGCTTCTGCTAAAATCATCCTTAACAACGGGCACTCCACCAGTGTGGAGTTTGATGACACCGTCAACAAATCAGGTTTGTTCCTTTAGTCTTGCACTGTAACTTCCTCCACCAATTCCTAAATAGAATACCTACAGCCTGGGCACATCTCACTGCTGGATATGAACTCCTTATTAACAGTAGGGCTTTGCTCCTCTGGATGAGAGATTCCTTTTTCCCTGTCTTTCAGCATGATGCAGTGTGGGAACATATTTGGACACAAGTTCGAGGTTGTGTTTCTCAGCAAGTGTTGGGATTCCCTACTTACAGGAGTGGTTTTATCCACCCCCACCAACTGGATAGTGCCAATCCCCTGTTTGAACAGTGTTGTTTACAATTTTTCAAATGCTGCTCTCTCTCTCTCACTGCAGATGAATCCTTTGTGTCTCATTACAGGTTCATTCCAACCGAATCGCTCAAATCTCTTATCTGAATTTAGCTTCAGGTTTGGTTATATGTTTTTCCCCTTTTTACGACCTATTCTTGGACTTCTTATGACAAGTAAGAGCCGATACAGAACAAGTGAAATAGATCCCAAGTAATCCCTTTTCTTCTCTGAAAAGTATTATTGCCCAAGTCTTTTCCAGGGGTGTATAGCTTCCCTTTTTGCCAACAATAATTCTTATTTAGAAGTTCTCTGGTGTATCATAGTCTTTGTAATGTTACTGCCTTCATCTTTGAAACCTTCTCTTGGATTTTGGGCAAGTCAGCATGCCTCCTCTTCAAGCTGTAGGAATGCAGAATCTTCAAGCAATAAAATAATTTTGTGGCTGTGTGAGGCTTAGCTGAGGATTCAAGACCATATGATGCTTTCACAAGCATCAAAGCCAGAGAGAGACTAATTTTTGATGAACCCTTAGTCCTGAGGACTTATTAGCTCATAGTGGCAAGAGGGAGAGACAGAGATGGAGACCGTCATTTTTTTGTTCCCTGAACAGTCTTAGTTTTAAACTTTCTATCAACATTGGATGTTGCCTGAAAGCCACCAGCTGACCATCAATGATCAGTCTGACCTTGTGTCAGATGCCGTGGAACTTCCCAGAATTAATCTCTGCTTCGAGCCTAGTAGATGCTGGTGAACTAAAGCACATCTCTTAGAAAAATATACAATCTTGATTTCAAATTTTCCAGCGATGCTGAACCTACCACAGCCTTTGGTAAGTTGTTCTAATTGTTAATTACCCTCACAGTTTAAAAGAAAAAAGTTAATGAATGTGAATACACCAAGAACCTCTTCCACTCTCTTTACTCCTTTCATGAAGTGACAGGGCCTGAGCAATGTTTCTCTAGGCTTCTCTAGGCTTCCCCTGGTACCAAAGCAATGGTAATGCGATCCTCCTCTTACTGCTTTCCCCAGGCCATATCTCCAAGGATATAGTTCATATAATAGCAAAGCACTGAGAGATGTTGATCAGATAATTAACAGATGGAATACCCATTCTCCTTCAGTACACACCATGTCTTCCATGCATGGACCAGATTCTTCAGTTCACAAAAATGAATAGAGTAATTCACTATTTTCCCTAATATTTGTCACTGACAAACTTTATCAGTACTGTTTTTGTTTTCTTTCAGGTCATTGCCCAAAAAATACTGAATTTTCTAGGGCCCAAATTTGGCTTCTGGGGCACCAGTGTGAAGTAAGAACTCCTGCCATGTCTTGGTTTCTTGAAAAAAATCAAATTAATTGGTACTAAATACCATGCTAATACCATACCATTCTGACGCATTATTAACTGACTCCTATATGAACTATTTCCTCACTTTGGTCAACACTGGAACTGGGCTGTCAAGTCTGTAACTGTTTGTGTAAGTCTGTTTATGCTCTTTGGTACCATATTAGCTCCATTCTTTGAAATTGCTCTATTGATCTTCTTCCAATATTTTTCAAAATTCAAGATACTGATATTTGCCTTAAAAACTTCTGACTACCCTCTCCCTTAATTACTGTTGGAATGAAATGGTTTTATCATCACTGTGTAATGTGGCACAAATACATCAACAGGCCACTTTCCACATTTTTCAGCATAAGTATTTCATGCTGGTGCATTTCTACAGAATAGTTTTTCCTCAGCCAGTTAGAACACTGATCTTTACACTTTTCTAGGGTCATTTGCATCAAAGTTTACAGTCCTTAAAAGAAAGAATTTAAGTGCCACTGACCCCCATCTCCTGTGTTTGCTAAGTTTATAGGCTGTGTAAATGCATGTTTTTTGAGTTGAAGCTTTAAGGAAGTTAAATATTTTTCCCCAGGATAAACAGTCACAGTTCTTTTTCATTATCCAAGCTACTTGTGTTAGCAAATAGGCAACATAAAAATTCTTCTTTTGTCTTTACTTGGTGTATTTTGTTCCTAAGAAAGTGTAGGTTTTGCACTGAACCTAGAAAAGAGAAAAAATTGCTATTGTCCTCCCTACTGCTCTTAATTTAAAAAACATCTGGTTAAATCTCCACTCATTTCCCCTTAAAATTTCTGTAATGAGCCAGTAAACTATTCCAGACTGATTCCCAAATGCTCAGAGGACATACAGAGCTGGGAGATTGAAATTATTTGTTTTGCTGTGAATAAGGAATCTCTCTGAGTGTAATTCACATTCTGGGCTCTGTGAAAAGATATTTTGATTCTAAGTCTGACAAGAAAATTACGAGTGCTTGCAAAAGCAAAATAGTGAAAAGCTCACCCATATACATGTTAGTTTGAATAGAATTAGAACAGAACAGAATAGAAGTAGAAAGAACAGTATAGAGTAGAAAAGAATAGAATAGAGTAGCCTCTTTCAGTTGGAAGGGCCCTGCAGTAATCATCTTGTCCAACTGCCTGAGCAGTTCAGGGCTAACCAAAAGTTAAAGGATGTTGTGAAGGGCATTGTCCAAATGCCTCTTAAACTCTTATAAGCCTGGGGCTTTGACAGCCTTTCTAAGAAGATTGTTCCAATGTTTGACCGCCATCATGGTAAAGAAATGCTACCTAGCATCCAGTTTAAATCTTCCCTGGAACAGCTTTGAGCCTTACCCATGAGTCCTGTCACTGGATACTTGAGACAAGAGACCTGCAGCTCCCTCTCTGCTTCACCTCCAAAGAAGTAGAGAGCAGTGAGGACACCCCTCAGCCTCCTTTTCTCCAAACTAGAAAAACCCAAAGTACAAAGTTGCTCCTCATAGGATGTGCTTTCCAGCCCTGGGTAATTGTCAGTAATATTGCAGTTGTACAATGCACATGTAACATTGGCTTAATTTTATTTATGTTAATATAAGCTCCTTTTCCTCAGACTTCAATCTGATATAACTGGATCTAGTTGCAAATGAAGGAAAGAGCCCTGAAAATTTAAGCTCTTCCTATTTTCCACCAAATTTCAAAGATGAAAATATTCTGCTGACATTACATTTTTATGATCATGCTCTTTATTCATAAAACCTATATTTTGAGCTTAATTTCTTAGTGATTCTTTTGAATATAATCAAGAGAGGAAGCTCCTGAGTGTTGAAAAATAGAAGTATTTAAAATTTCTGTAATGAGCCAGTAAACTATTCCAGACTGATTCCCAAATGCTCAGAGGACATACAGAGCTGGGAGATTGAAATTATTTGTTTTGCTGTGAATAAGGAATCTCTCTGAGTGTAATTCACATTCTGTGAATTTTCTTATCTGTGAAAAGATATTTTTATTCTAAGTCTGACGAGAAAATTACGAGTGCTTGCAAAAGCAAAATAATGAAAAGCTCACCCATATGCATGTTAGTTTGAATAGAATTAGAACAGAACAGAATAGAAATAGAAAGAACAGTATGGAGTAGAAAAGAATAGAATAGAGTAGCCTCTTTCAGGTGGAAGGGCCCTGCAGTAATCATCTTGTCCAACTGCCTGAGCAGTTCAGGGCTAACCAAAAGTTAAAGGATGTTGTGAAGGGCATTGTCCAAATGCCTCTTAAACTCTTATAAGCCTGGGGCTTTGACAGCCTTTCTAAGAAGATTGTTCCAATGTTTGACCACCATCATGGTAAAGGTGGAGTGATTTGTTTCGCTGTGAATAAGGAATCTCTCTGAGTGTAATTCACATTCTGGGCTCTGTGAAAAGATATTTTGATTCTAAGTCTGACAAGAAAATTACGAGTGCTTGCAAAAGCAAAATAGTGAAAAGCTCACCCATATACATGTTAGTTTGAATAGAATTAGAACAGAACAGAATAGAAGTAGAAAGAACAGTATAGAGTAGAAAAGAATAGAATAGAGTAGCCTCTTTCAGGTGGAAGGGCCCTGCAGTAATCATCTTGTCCAACTGCCTGAGCAGTTCAGGGCTAAGCAAAAGTTAAAGGATGTTGTGAAGGGCATTGTCCAAATGCCTCTTAAACTCTTATAAGCCTGGGGCTTTGACAGCCTTTCTAAGAAGATTGTTCCAATGTTTGACCACCATCATGGTAAAGAAATGCTACCTAGCATCCAGTTTAAATCTTCCCTGGAACAGCTTTGAGCCTTACCCATGAGTCCTGTCACTGGATACTTGAGACAAGAGACCTGCAGCTCCCTCTCTGCTTCACCTCCAAAGAAGTAGAGAGCAGTGAGGACACCCCTCAGCCTCCTTTTCTCCAAACTAGAAAAACCCAAAGTACAAAGTTGCTCCTCATAGGATGTGCTTTCCAGCCCTGGGTAATTGTCAGTAATATTGCAGTTGTACAATGCACATGTAACATTGGCTTAATTTTATTTATGTTAATATAAGCTCCTTTTCCTCAGACTTCAATCTGATATAACTGGATCTAGTTGCAAATGAAGGAAAGAGCCCTGAAAATTTAAGCTCTTCCTATTTTCCACCAAATTTCAAAGATGAAAATATTCTGCTGACATTACATTTTTATGATCATGCTCTTTATTCATAAAACCTATATTTTGAGCTTAATTTCTTAGTGATTCTTTTGAATATAATCAAGAGAGGAAGCTCCTGAGTGTTGAAAAATAGAAGTATTTTCCCATTCTCTGAGAAATATCCAACCTTGACAATAGCAGCATACCCTTTAGTGGGCCATAACCCACTAATCTGCCCATAAATGCAATTTTCATAGTCATATCCTTGACAGGTGAGGGTTTCTGTAGTACTTCCAAGAAATGGAAAGCCGTCTGAGACAACTTGTGATCAGGAGCAGAGGAGTATCCGAAGACTGAAGTCTGGTGTGAGGTTAGAGGATGGTTGATAGAGACTCCCGTTCTCTCAGTGAAGCTTTTTCCTCTGCTTGGGTTTCCAGTGCTGACTGGGGGGCCACTCAGCGGGACCTACAGGCTGCGCCAGATTCACTTCCACTGGGGATCCAATGATGAAGCTGGCTCTGAGCACACGGTGGATGGGATGAAGTATGCAGCAGAGGTAAGGCTTTACGTGGAGTCATCTGTACCTCTAAGCTTGTGACTAGTTTTCCATTGCAAGAATAATGTTGCCCTTCCTCTTCCTGCTTTTCATCTTCCCCTCATTTTATTGAAAGGCAAGTGGTCTTCCTGAATTGTTGCATGTTGGTCCTTTCTCAAAGGAGAACCTCTTTGAAAGCTTTGCAGAGGATTAAAAAAGGAGTACAGAAGACAAGAGTTTGATAAGAGCAAGACTTAGTGTTCCAAGAGTTATTTTAAACTTTCATTATTTCCTCCTTGGAGAACATTTTCAAAGTCATCTTCAATGGCAAACCACAGAATTGTTGGATTTGGAGCCTCTGTAGTGTAAAGTTTATGCAAGACTTAGGAACGTTGTATTTTGTGGTGCACTTAGCAATGTCGTGGTTATGACTTTGAGAACTATGGTTTAATATTTATGGGATGCCTGCTGTCTGTGGGGTGGCTGCTGTCTGTGGGATACTGTGCTTCAGTGGAGGTGGTGTGCCAAAGGGAGAAGTGCATCATCTCCTCTGGCACAGAGCATTCACTCCTGCTCTGTCTCCTTTGGTGTATTTGAGTAACCTGCAGGAGGAAGTTCTCAGTATGAGATTCCTCTTTGCAAATGGAAGTAACATGGAATATTTTCAGGAGATTGATATCTTTAAAAACATATGATTCAGACAGTGTCAGAGTTTTCTGGGGTTAAAAGAAGTAAAAAGTGTAAAAATAAATGGACAAATAAAAAGCATAATACTACAGAAGAAAAATATGTAATGTATGCACTGTGGTGTGACCAGATTTTACTGGAAATGCTATAAGAGATACTGATCAGGAAAAAAGATTGGTTTTCTAACACTAATGGGGAAAAGTGACATTTGCAGTGTTTAAAGGCTTATGTTTTCCACAGGAACCAGGTGAGATGGAATATAAAGAATTAATAGAGGTGCTTTAAAGCCATTGAGTACCAAACCCAAATTTCTAGCTGAGAAAATATATGTTTCCCATCTAAGAAACCAAATGGAAGGAGAAAATATCCCTGAATTTCTAGCCAGTCTAAAAGCCTTTCTGTTACCTGTTGATTGGGTAACCCTCCACAAGAAGCTCTCTAGATGTCACTTTGGCTGTGGGATAAGAAACTCAGAATTAAAACCAAGGCTTCTGAATATTGTTCACACAAAAGAAAATGCCTCAGAAGGAGACATGAAAATGTTTTAAGTGCTCACCTTTGTAAGGAAGATGTGCAAGTTTTGAAGAAAAAGCATCGACTGAATTGAAGAAAGAATTAATGTACAGGTAAAGAAGACTGCAAAGTTTGGCTCTTAAGCCCTCCAGGAAGCAGAAAGGATCCATGGCTGCATTCTCTGTGACAACATACGGTCTGATCAAGGTCTCTTCACAAGCTGCTGTGACACTGCGGTGGTAAGACAGGATATATTCCTTAGAGAAGTCACAAGACATTGAGAACGGGTCTGTACCCAAAAGTGTTTCACACTCCATTTGGGGGCTCTGGTTTTTGGAGGGTTACCTTCTGGGGGATTTTTGGCAAAGCTATGAGGGAGTGGGAGTGGGATTTTAGTAGCTGTGGGAATTTTCCTTTTTATCCTTTGTTGGGTTGTTTTTGATGATGGTATTTTTTTTTCCCAAATCCACAATAAAGGTAATTTCTGACTGTGAGTATCTGTTTCCTTTTTGCGTATGTAAAAATGTAATTGTTTAAAAGTTGTTCAACATAGGTTCTGTGAATTTGTAATAGAGAGCAGTGCAGACACTATGAACCCCAGGATATTAATGCACTTGAGAAAGGTTTAGTGGACTGTGTTCTCCTGGTTTACTGTATGATATTCTTAGCAACTTTCCTTCAAGGATTTCTAAAGCTATGAGACAGCATGCGTGTCATTGTGGTTGTACATGTATTAATATTGACAACACTGGGATTCCTTACTTGCTGCAAGTAATGTTTCAGCACTTTAGAGCCCAAATGCTTAAAAAATTGATGTCAAGTAAGACCATGTAAGAGTTCCATTTTTAGATATGGAAAATTGAAAATTATAGAGGTTAAGGAAGGATTGATATTTAGAATAAAAATCTATCAATCCCTAGAACCCTATTTCAGCCATGCAGCTATGTTGCTTCACATAGAAATCCTTTAAAGCAGTTTCAGCTTTCCTAAATTGTTCTTACTTTACTTGTCCAATAGGTGCTATATTCCAAAAGGAAGCCTTTTTTTTCTTGGGTTCATCCCAATTTAAGTCATTCAATGAGTTGTTTTTCAGCATTCTTGAAGCATCTTCAACATCTGAAAAGATGGTCACCAATTTTAGAAAAGCCAATCTCACATCCTGCTTCTGAGCATCTTTAACTAAAAATTATGTGTAATAAGATTTACTAATCCATTGAGGATTTGTGAAAGCAATTAATGTTTGTGAAGTAGTTAGAGTTAAGTGCTGTGTAAGTGTGCTCTCTTCAGTGTGGCAGTCAGACCATTGCTCAAGGCTGGAACAACCTGGAACTTCTTGGAAACCAGGACTCCCATCATGAAGTGTTGTCAGGATTTAGGAAACCTAATTTGCCAGGAGGTACTTAAGTGTCATGGAAATAGACATCACAGGCTTTTCCTCTTCCCTCCTGGCTGGGTAGTGTCTTTAAGCTTCTTAAGCAAATATGACAGGACACTTCCAGACTAATGCATGTTGGAAATGCAGATACTCAAACCTGAAATAATCAAGCTGCTCGTAAGGGTGTCACTACTGGTAGTCATACAAAATAACATTTGAAAAGTGTCAGAAATTAAATGCTGATGTTCCCTTAAGCTAAACAAGGGAAAAGGGGTCAGTGCAAGTTTAATGTGTATTTGCCTGTTTTCTGCTATTTATGTAGATGATTAATGTTGCTGAAAGCTTGATTAAAGAAAAAGAGGAGTAAAATACAAATGACATCCTCATGAATTCCAATCACTTTTTAAAATCAGCTGTACTAAAAATGGATTTTAAACCTCTAGTTATATAACCATTGGCTTTTTTTTGTCTTAACTTCTCAGTTCAAAATCTGGGGACCCAACAGCAATTTGACAGGCACTGTTGTATGCCAATTGCTGCTAAATTTTAATAATCTTAGCCACTGGAAATGCTTTTGCCATTTGCGTCAGCTACATATTTATTGATTTCATGAAATATCTGCATTTGGAACACTGACTGATTCTGCATACAAAAGAGTGAAATAGAGTGTCAAACCCAATAAAGTTGTATTATTTGCCATTACTTGAGTTCAGTGAGAGTTGATGCTGTCTTTGTCTCTTGCTTTTCAGCTTCATGTGGTCCATTGGAATGCAGAGAAGTATTCCAGTTTTGTTGAGGCAGCTTGTCAGTCAGATGGACTAGCAGTCATGGCTGTATTTCTGAAGGTAAGAAGAGAATGCTTCAGCCCTCATAATAAATCTGCATTATGAGCCCAAAGAGATAATGGTGATGGTTTGTGTAAGTAGCTAAAGAGATACTTGTTATCTTATACTTATTTCCTTCATAGTGTTTAGCTGCCAATATAGAAAGCTGTGCTTCCTTTAAGAATAAAAATATAAGTTTAATAGATTTTCCAAGACAGTCAAACTCTTCAGTTTGCCTAGACTGCAAACCCAAACAATATTAGATATGGAATTAAATTCAGCTGCCCCCATTTGGATCCCAGTAACTTGTTCTTGACTAGCATGTTCCTTTAGGGGGACAGCTTGATTTAATTGTTTTTTTAATGGCTTGTTTCTGAGCTGGTTGTTTCTTCAATAAAATAATAATAATAAAATAATGCAAAGACAGAAACAGGAGAATTTCCTAATAATTATTTTATACCTTTTTTGCCTTCTCCACCTGTTCTAAGATTAAATTTGTGCAACAGCTTCACTGAATTCTGTATGAAGAAGCAGATGGGGAATTCTCACAATCTATGGCATAAGATAGGGCTTTGGTAAATTCTGTGGTTTCTGGTGGCTGACACGGCTTCCTGAGAACAGCTCGTACTGGTGCTGGCACAATCAGAAAGCCATTCCATGCAGCAGTTGCAAAGAACTGCTTCAGCAATTCAGTAATTCTGTCTTTCCAGTTTGTATTACAATTACTCAAAGGAGGTGTCACTGGATTTCTTAGCATACAAATTCAGTCTGGAATGTTGTCACATAAGAATGTTGTTTTCAATGTTATAAGCAGTTTAAATTTCTGATGTTAGTCTGTAACTTTTAATATCCCACATATTAAAACATGAAAGATAAATGGTTTCTATTCACCTGTAGTGAAAAGTTTGTCATTCTTTTGTAGGTGAAGTAATTTCTATGAATAGCCAGAATACTATTAGCAAGGAAGAGAATCTTCTTTATGACCAGTATTATTTCTAAGGACCAGCTAGTCACAGGCTTGTACTCATTAAATGCATCAGATCTTTCAGTCACTTCAGATATATGAAGCAGTTTCATCATCCATTTGCTTTTTTATTAATTTTTGTTGCTTTTCTCTGGAGCTCCAGTGTTTCATTTTTCTTTGGTGTTAATAGATTGGTGAATGTAACCCTCAGCTGAACAAGATTACTGACCGCTTGGACACCATCAGAATCAAGGTGAACAAGTGCTTCTAAAAGAATACTAGCTAATATTGGTGGTTGCTTTTGTTTGGGCTTTTTTTTTGTTTGTTTGTTTGTTTTTTGGGGGTTTTTTGTTGTTTTCTTTTGGTTTTGTTTTTGTTTTTTGTTGTTGTTGTTGTTGTTTGGTTTGGTTTTTTGTTTGTTTGTTTGGGGTTTTTTTGTTTTTGTTTTTTTGTTTTGTTTTGGTTTGGTTTGGTTTTTTTTGGGGGGGGGTTGTGGCTTTTTGGTAGAGTTTTTTATTTTTTGAAACCTGGCCTCTACTCCCTGCATCTTCATGTTTCCTTATCCCTAGTTATTGATACCTGATTTGAGACAGTTTATGTGCATTCTGTTTAAGTTGAAAACTAAATAGACAAAAAATAATTTTTACACAGTAAAAGATCAGAGCAAACAGCTAATTCCTCACAGAACCCAGTCTCTGATAAATCTGTTGCTATGAGGATAGTAACAGGGGAAAAACATACTTCATGGAAAGTTGTAAAAATGATGAGGGAAATACTTCCTTCCCTGTTTTGCTGAGGTACAGGGTAAGAAATAACCTGTTGTTTGTGTGAGAGAAATCAGCCAGACTTTCAACATGATGTTCAGACAGACATCTGTGTCCTGGTATCCAGTACAAGCAGAAGCAGAAGTAACTCCTGGGAGGAGTGAGTGGGGAGGGAAGCATGTGGCAGTAATCTGTGGGGTTACTCTGCCAGCCTCACAGTGACCATGTTGAAAGTGTAACATCTTCTGACTTCTCCCCACAACTTCCATCTCATGGTCATCTGTAACTTAAGGGAGTCTGTGCTAACAGGACACCTTTCATGGTGTCCTGCTGGCATCAAGGAAAGTCACAGCAAAGCTGTCACTGAGCTAAGACCTTGCCAGAAGGGCAGTGATGAGGACCTCCTGTCACCACTCAAGATGCTGCCAGCCCACTTGGCAGCGGAACAAGCTCTACCTCCTTTGGCATGATTTGCTTTGGCCTCTTGCTTTTAAATAATGTTGCCCTGGTATTTATTTTATTCCTTTCCAGGGAAAAAAAGCACTATTCACAAACTTTGATCCCAGCTGTCTGCTTCCCAAGTCTCTGGACTACTGGACTTACTTTGGCTCTCTCACTGTTCCACCACTTCTTGAGAGTGTCATCTGGATTGTTCTGAGAGAGCCCATAAGTGTTTGTTCTGAGCAGGTATCTTTGGATTTTTCACTGTTATGGAAATATTGCTTCTGTAAGAATGAAAATTGTAAATGCCACCCAAAATTATGGGTTTTTGCAGACCTTGGCACTGCAGACCTTACAAGATTTTCAAAAGTCAAAATTTGTATATCAAATTCATTCTGACTAGTTGCCTTTCTTGCTCTAACAGCTATTTATTATTCATTTTTAAAAAGAATCTGCATACTTTAACAATTAATAAACAAAAATAATCCATAGGGAACTTAAAAAAAGAGTTCTTATGATGCTTAGAAATTCTGGAATTCCAATTGATTTAATTATTTGCATATCCTGCTGAAACCTCATCTTTGGCATTTTTATCTGGCAGACAAGTAGTAAATATCTTCTTGCATTTTAAATACATAAACTTGATGAATTTACTAGAAGTGTAAAAAGGGAATACTGCTGTAATAAGTTTGGGCTGTGCTAGGCTGTTTTAGGAAAGCTGTGATTCAACATAAAAAGAGTCTATTTACATTTCTTGTTAAAGCTTCATACTGAATTTTAACCTTGCAACAGTGACACCCAGCGGGCTGATCCTCTTAGGTGTAAAGTATTTCTGAATAGAGAACACATACTCAGCAGAAATGGTGACTTCAGTCTTTGCTAAAAATGTTAAGACAGTTCTCTGAATGGGTTGTTTGTTAGAAAACCTCAAATTTCTGTTTGCAACTGACTTGAAGTCATTTATTTGCTCAATGTGTGTATTTTTCTCATGTGTATCTCTTCCTCACTCCCCTCAATCTGGCTTTCTAAGGCTCGCTGCAGTGTGTTTGGATCTAGAATTGAAAACTTGTGTTAAGGTATCAACTTTCCAAAGAAAAGCCATTTTTCAGGTTAAAAGCTTCTTATTTGGGGAAATCTATAATAAATACATTCTAAAATGTGAAATGATGTACATAAATGGGTAAATCTGTAATTAATACATTCAAAAATGTGAAATGCTGTATATAAACAGCCACATGTAACAGGCTCAGGGAACATGGTGTAGGAAAGTGTAGTGATCCTTTATTAGTCATTTTTCATAAACTTTAGCTGTATCTTATGTATTAGAGTAGTATTATCAAATATAAACATGCATGCAGCTAAAGTGTTTGTTTCCAGTAATGTCCACCATTGTGACTGGTCAGTCAGCACTGATCTACTGTTCTACCATTTAATTTTATTCCTCAAGTTTCTATTTCTTTAGGGCTTTAGAGTTTACTACAGACATTTTGTTGCACTTTTCAGGTTGAAAGAAATTAAAAATAGCTTTTAAGTTTTCAGAAACTTACAGGACCCTAAATTACAAACATCAGCTTCAGAATGGGGTGAAGCAAGGTAGCACTGACATTTTTTGCTCTCAATGTCATTACAATGCAATGTGCCATTACAATTAAATGTTCTAATATAATGGAATAGTTTTTGTGCTGTCCTGCCTTTGGTAACCTAGGAGGGAAGTAAAGTAGTATATAGAAATAGTAACTATTGGAAAGATTAGAAATTAAACGAAATTCTATACATAGATCAGAAATCAGCCTCATATTTCCCAAGGTTTAGACATGGAACTCTGGTGGGGTTTCTGCTGAGATCAGCATATGCGGAGTTTTGAATAAGTGCTTTCCTGGAAGTTATGAACAAGTGCTTCACAAGGGAAGAATTTAGAATCTCTCCAGGTTTGAGTAAGGGATAGTTGCAGAAGCTTTCTGTAGCACCATACCTGCAATTCCAGGTTAATTGTGAATATACTCTTTGAAGAAGGAAACATACACAGATTGTTTGTATGATAAGAAACATAATCTTATCTTCTGGCAAAAAGCATTTCAGAATCTCCAAACTATGAAATCCATCTAAAAAGGTACAAACTCTTCCTGGTTTAGACCAGGTTGTGGAAGACAAAGTGTGAATAAAGGAAACAAGTAATCCTTATGCACACTTCCATGTATTTTGGGATATTTTCTCAGTAGTCATCCTTTTTCATTTACAAGGATAGAAATGGTGAAATTGCCATTCCCCTCATGACTTCATAAAATACAGTTTGTTCTTTCAGGTGTAAAAAAAGTGACAAGTGTCTTTTTTATTTACATGCTTTTTCATGAGTATTGACATGAGGGTTTTCTGCTGAACCTTACATCTCTTTTGGTTACAGCTGGCCAAATTCCGCAGCCTCCTGAGCACTGCTGAGGATGAGGCCGCCTGCTGCTTGCTGAGAAACTTCCGGCCTCCCCAGCCTCTGAGGGGACGAGAAGTCAGAAGGAATTGAAGGAGTAAATCCAGAGTAGGCTCCCTCTGAAATCAAAGGCTGAATTCATTTTAATAGTTAATATACTTTGTGATGTTTTGATTTTTTTGTTTTAACCAATAGTTGTTAGTGGTTTCCATGCAGTCATTTCTTACAGGCAAGTATGTCTGGAGTTATCACAGGTTCGTTGATGTTAACAGGTCTGACTGGGTTTGAGTGCATTGGAAGCACTGAGCCATCAGCATTGCAGACACAAAGGTCACTGCTAATCATAAGGGTCAAATGTGGGGAAGGAGTTGTCCAGATTTTGCTACCAAATCACTGAACAAGATCTTTGGTATTATTGACAGTATAGGATGTTCTGGGATTAGTCTTCTGGTCTCTAACATAACATTTAGCTTCTGCATAAACCTCACATTGCATTTGTCAAGAAAAAAATATTTCAAGAATGATGTAATTTCGTTGCTGATTTTTGCAATACCATACTTACTTTTCTACAAAAAGCAGTAATGACTAGCAGCATTTAAGTAAAACAGATATTTATATGATTCTGTTATTCTGGCTGCTTCATAGCAGTAATCATGTACTGATTGATAGTTTTTTTAAAGCAAATAGTAAGGATTTTGTATATTACAAGATCATGTCAGGTTGATTAGGTATTCCTGAATTCCAAAATGTCACAAGATAAAATTGTCCTGAAACCTGAAAACTGCAAGGTGGAAGGGCATAGAGGGAGCTGTTTGTGCCTAAGTCCAGTTTATTGCACTTGGTAAAGAATAAGGGATTATTACACTATATCCATGTAGCATCAGACTTTTGCCACTTAATATCAAGAGGCAGGGGTAGCTGTTGTTCCAGACTGTTGCATGCTGCGGTGTGAACCACGTGCTGCTTACCTCTGCTCTCACTGTGGAGCACAGTGCTGCCCAGGCATAGAATGTGTCAAGGTGCTGGCTGATGTTCTGCTGTCATAGGTGAACTTCAGTGGTTGCACTTATATTCCAAGACCAAAGAGAATAGTTAGAGAGAGCCAAAGAAATTGGAATCAAGTCAACATCTAATAAAAAGCTCAGCCCTCAGTAGCAATATGTTGAAACATCTGTCTTTATGAGTTGACTTGAGCCAGTGTTTCTCTCAGGACCTTTTTTTATCTCAATATGATTGGGGTTTTTTACACCAAATATTTTTATTAATGAACATGCCATAGGATATAGCTTAGGATAGAATTAGATTTACTCTTAAGCTGTGAGAACTATATAGTGAAATCCAGTGAGTGATACCTGAAAGAGGCAGCTAGAGGTTTTACTGGCAGGAACTAACACAGTAGTACTTCTGACAAATTTGTCTTCCATAACTGCTCTCCTTGAATTAATTTTTAAATAGGTTTTATATGCTCTGCCTTTTACCTCAGTAGGTCATTTGATCTTAGATGAACAAACATAAGGGAAATCAATCGGGATTGACTTTTTAGAACAATAAATGCTGTTTTAGAACAATAAATTAGACATAGAGATATAGATATTTTATCTTAATTTAGGATATGTAGAATTCCTTGTTTTCTCCTCCCCAGAATATAGCTGTTATATTCTGGAAGGCCTCCCAATGCCTTTTGAATACTTTCTGAAGAAAAGAACACAGATCATTGGAGAAAAAAAAAGCCATTTAGCAGCACTAAAAGGAAAAGTGAGAGAGTGTTGTATGTTTTCACTGTCTTTTTTAGACTTAGGATTGGATCTCATATGTTTCCCTGTTATGTGAGTAGCTACAGAATGTGTAAAAAATGTTTACAAATTGCAGGAAGGATACAAAGGATTTGTTGGTCTCAGAAGAGGAAGGAATAAGGCTACTGCTTCATATTGTAAACAGAAGTTTTACATATTTCTTACATATTGTAAACAGTAGAGTTGACTCAATTCTTTTATATTTATAAGGATTTTATCAAAATAAAATATAGATTTTATGAATGTGTCTTGTATTTTATATTGAAGAGCCTAAAATTTTACAGAGAAGTCTATACTTTTATAATTAACACCTACAGCTTTAGGTTTGGAAAAAATTGTGACCCATCATTTGAAGTCTGTCTTTGGGTAGTGTAGTATTAGATATGTCTTTATATTCCAAATAAAATATTTTTTTGTAGTGGTAAGACATGCAATCAATTCTTCAAGTTTCTGATACTGCATTTTTGAACTTTTGACTATTTTTATAGTTATGCTAATAAGTTTTAGAAGAAGTCTTCATTCCAGTGATTCCCCTTTTGTGGTGATGCCATGTTCATGTTAGATTGGCTTAGCTGGAACGACTGAAAAAGTCTAGAAATGCTGAGTTATCTGAAATCCTTTGGGAACAGTTTCTCATGTTATCCATCCCCTGCAACTATAAAGTGAGAATTTGGATACAGTCTCAGCTCTCAGCACTTGGTTGCACCCTCAGTCACTAATTTCCTGTGTGCACAAGCTCCACTGAACCTCAGACTACTCCGTGTGCTCCCAGAGAATCTTATCTCAAGTATGAGCTCCATATTGTCCTCTACAGCAACTGAGGCTGAAATATGTCATCACCCCCTGCCCCAGCCCCCTGCAGCCACATGTCCCTTTGATCAACTCTTAGCTCTCTGACACACTTGGAGCCTTTACATTAAGAAGAACTAAATGCTCAGTGACCAAAAAAATATAGAGTGTATTTGCTGAAAATAGTAGCTGTCAAGAATTGTGGACTGCTGGAAGGTTGATCACCCATAAACTTATTATCAGGATTAAATAAACCACAGCAGAGCCCTGGGGTCAGCTCTCTGTTTTTGGCACAGGAGGGAAGCAGTCTGCTCTGCTATGCTTACAGCATTTGCCATCATTCTCATGATGTTTTTAATGTTACACATGTTTAAAATCAGCTGGGAATTTTCTTTATGTCAAACAAAAAACCTTAGAAGTAGCGCTCTTCCCTTCTGGAGTACAGTGGGCTGAAGATACACCAGACATCTGTTTGATGCCATACACCCATTTGCTATACACCTATGTTTTCTCTGCTGTTTAGAGATTTGTCTCTCAGTTGCTTCCAGACATGAACTGTGACCTAAAGGAATTCTAAGAATTAATTTGAAGGAAAAAACCCCAAGTCATCAATTAATAAATCTCACAGGAAAAAAAAAAATATGGCATATGAATAAAATAACATAAATGAAAGATATATGTTATACAGTTTCTATAAACTTAATGGAAAGGAAATTCTGGATTTAGATTCTTGTAGCTTTAAATAAGCAAGAGGCGGGTTACAAGATAAATCTTCAGATGTTGAAAGCTGCAAATAATTGAAAACTTAGAGCACCTTCATGTTGTAAGCTCAGCATGAAGGTATGAATACCAGAGGAGTCTTGCTCAAGAAATGTGGCTTCTTTCTTTTACTGTCTATTAATTAGTCTAAAAAAAGCATGGTGACAATTTCCCTCATCACTCTGCTACTAGATGGACTGCAACTAACTTCGGACCTAGGTGTTACATTTTTTTGTTCTTCCACCCAATCTGATCTTGCTTTCTAGTTATAGATGTGAAATACGGAGATTTGGTCTGTGATTTAATCTCTTAGATACTGTTATTTCTGTATCTTTTATTTATGAAGTACATGACTCAGTGACAGGGGACCTTCTTTGTGTGTCTGCTGTTTTTGTGAGACAGGAGATAATATTGAAATGCTGAAACAAAAACGTGCCTAAATTCATGGGGTTTTTCCTATTTCTGTCAACCTCTCCATCATTTATGCCAAGCACAAGTTTTTACTGTGGTGAAACATTTACATGTGTAATCTATGTCTCTTCTCCTGTGCAGCAGAATTTGACAACAGGGAGTGTTTCTGACAGGCGAATACTGGATTGTCATGTGAAAACAAAGATTCTTGGCCTCTGATTAACAGAGATGATGTGCTGCACTGTCAATTTCTGTGTCTGTTTCTGTTTTATCAAATTTCACCCACATACTTGGGTAGATAAATTTGAATAATTTGAAGATACTACTGACAGTTTCATTTATCAGATTGAAATCATATAGGTTACATGCAACAGGTAGAAAAAAAATATATGTTTTTGTGACGATCTGATTTAATTATTTTTCTGTCTCTGGTTTGTAAATATTTTGAATGAAATATCAGCTGTTTAAATGCCAACACTGCCATTCTTTTCCTTTCTACAGTTGTATGAACAGCAGACAGAAATGTGGCCTCAATATTTCTTCTTTTTTTAGCAGCACTTTAGTGATTTTGAGGAAAAAAGTTAACCCAGTCATTCTTAGTGCTTTTCTGAGAATTTTTTATTGATTTATGTTTTCCCTCCAGTTTTTTTATAGTTTATGTTTTTATTAATAAACTGGCAAATGGTGCTCATGATATACAATCTTCCCCTGTCAGAAACAGATGAATGATTGATTGAGAAGAGGAATATCGGGTGAGAAAATATGATAATAGACTAAGCTGTAGTAAGTAATCTAAAATTCTGAACTGACTGGGAAAAACTGAGTGGTGAGATTTGGAGAAGATAAAGAAAAATGCTAAAGATAAAAGAGGTACTCTAAAAGCCTTCTAATGGGAAAAGAGGCCCTTTGCAATGGCTTTTGCCGATAGATGTCACTGTGAATAAGGCAATGGTCACCTGCCTGCTGACACAACATCCTGAATAAGACCCAGGGAGTCCTGAAGGCTCAGCCTGTGAAGAAGAGTATGCAATACAACTCGTATTAAGGATGCGCTGTTGATAGTGATTTAGTCCATTTCTTAAAAGTGAAACAAGATTGGGAAAAAAATTAAAATTTGCATAACAAAAGATACTCAGATTAAAAAACCAAACAACCAAACATATTTAGGTGAACCCGTTCATTTAAATGCTCCCCTGTTTTCCATAAGCAATTGCTGTTATATCGTTTCACACATGCCTAAAGCCACATGCCAGAAACAACCACCGTAGGAGCAAGGTAAGTTTTTCTGTGTTTTCTTCTATTTGGAAGTTTCCCCAAGCATTAAAAAAAAAGAAAATCAAAGTCATTTGTGTGTAGGGAGCCTGAATGGTGTATGGCCACATCAGCACTACCATGCAGGCTCTGTAGGTCTGGCACATTCTGGCTTAGTTGGACATCCCTGAGCCCATGGAAAGCCACAGGGCAAATCATGGACAGCAGGGCAGGCTATGCCAGTGCCTTGAATTCTGGCTGCAAGATTTGGGTAAGGACAAATTCACACATACAGTAAATACAGCTGAGCATAGGTAATCATCATTAACCAGTTATGGGTTTTTTTAAAGAGTGCAGCAAAGATTCGTATGGAAAATCTGATCAGTTATTTAAACCAGTTCCTGCTTCAGTTTTCTGAGTCAGATGAATGGTAGTGCTCATTTCAGCCATGGCACCACTATTGCACCACTCTCTGTGTGAGGTTCCAGAAGGGGCGTTTCTACCTGTCTCTCTCAGTTATGAGATATTTAAATATCACTGTAAGGACTCAAGGCAGGCTCCTTGGTTCACACAAGCACACTGTAAATGTGGATGTAAATGTGTGTTAAAAGAGCTTTTTGGTATTTCAAAAGTCACATCAGTCAAGTGATGTTCCTAGTATCTGGAAAAAAGGCAAGATTGCACCCATTTTTTAAAAGGGTAGAAAGGAGCACCCCAGGAACTACTGACCTGTCAGCCTCACCTCTGTTCTGGGAAGACCATGGAAGAGATCCTCTTGAGAGGAGGATCTAAGGCACAGGGAGGAAAGTGAGGCAATTTGAGATGCCCAGCATCACCAAGGGCAAATCCTGCCTCATTAAACTAGTGGTCTTTTAGGCTGAAGTGACTACATCAGTGAACTAGGGAGGAGCCATGGATGTCATCTCTGTGGACTTCTGTAAGACCTTTGACACAACACTCTTCACTCTAAATTGGAGAGGCGGAGATGGGATGGGTGGACTGTTCAGTGGATGAAAAATAGGCCACATATCATGCAGAGGGTATTGGTCAATGGCTGAATGTCCTGATGGACATTGGTGACAAGTGGTGTCCCTCAGGTGTCCATACTGGGACCAGTACTGTTTAGTGTCTTCAGCAGTGACACAGACAGTGGCATCAAGTGCACCCTCAGTAAGTTTGTGAATGACACCAAGCTGAGTGTTGCAGCTGACACAGCTGTAGGATGGGATGCTACCCGGAGGGACCTGAAGAAACTGGAGAAGTGGGCCCATAGGAATCTCACAAGGCTCAGTAAGATCAAGTGCAAGCTGCTGCACCTGTCTCAGGGCAACCCTTGGTATCAACACAGGCTGGGGATGAACAGATGAAGAGCAGCCTGGCCAAGAATGGTTTAGGGTTCCTGATGGATGAGAGGCTGGACATGAGCTGGCAATGTGCACCCACAGCCCAGAAAGCCTAGTATGTCCTTGGCTGCATCTCTTTGTTTAATTTATTTGCATACCTGTCAGTTTTATTGCTCTGGGTTTCCTGTGTGTCAGCATACAGAGGGTATACACAGCCTACATGGCCCCCACCTCTGGGTTATGGCAATCAGGATGTAATCTAGTAATCTACCCCTGCAGTGCAGCCATGGACGAGTGGGAACACCCAGGATATCAGAGTTGAACAGCACTTGGGTAAACATGCTGCTTAGGAGTGATATTGCATAAATAATACAGGAGTCTCATGATTGTGTATCACTTTTCCCTAGTGACTGGTGCATTGCATCCCAACATTGTGTTCAGAGGTGCTTGTAGAGGCATTAGTACTAAATTCCTGATAAATTGTGTTGAGATTAAAAAAACCAAAAGAACCTAAACTAAGGACTTTCTCCTACATCTTGCATCCAGTAATTCATGCAGGAGGAAAACATGACTGACTGAAAAGCTTTTTATTGAAATAGAGAAAGCTCCATTTAGTTTTCTGGAAAATGTGTATTCCTGTTTAGTTGTGCTTTACCTACTGTTATTTATATGTCTGTAGTGAACTTGTTTTCTA